CCTTGTCAATTATTTCATGTGAATTGATGTACAGAATATAAAGTCTGTCAATAATTATTAAAAACACACACAATCGGAGGGACACACATTCCCAAGCCCATCATCATTACCTAAATTCATCCCAGGTTTCATTAAATGCATACCACTTTGCTTTGTCGAAAGCCAGTATTCACCAACCAAGGAGGAGACTGCTCCTATCATGCAGAGTACATGTCCTGACAAAACAAAGCATATGCACTTATTCTGTGGTGGAAATTCCACATTCCTTTGATGGAGGTCAATATCAGCGACACACAAGCACTGTTGACTTCCCATTGACTACTCAGTTTATCGATCCTGAAAAGATGGGCCGAGTCTACCTTCAACCTCGATTTTAACATTAACATTCTAATTATGAGTCGAGTGCCGTATCTAGGTTACTCAGACACCCAAATGTATTTTAGAGCACGTGACTTTGTGTGTTTTTAAGGGGTTTTTGTGATAAAGACCTTCAAAAATGAAAACAAAACCAAGTAGTTGGCTTTAAAACAAATAAACTAAAGTGTTTACAATTTCAAGTGCTGAAGATCGAATTTTAGTAAATTATAGGGATGAGACAGAATATTCAGAAAACGATGGAGGTGCCAACACAACATAATGTCAGTTTAACAAGTAGGCTTTCGCGACCAATATCATCTATAATATAGGTTGTTTGGGTTATCTGGCTGTTGCCTGATGAAGCTAGTTGTATAATTACTGGCAAAACGTCAGTCAGATTGTAAATGTTGTGGATTCGCTCTCCAACACACCGTGTGCTGTACTAGTAACGAATTGGCATGTTCTGTTTATGTGACAAACCTTACTCATTGGCTGTGTCGGTTGGTGGCGGGTTTAACGACACATTTATATTTACGCGATCTAACCCAAAAAAACAATATTATGGACAACATTACGTGTGTGTTACATATAGCTACGAAGATTTAAAGACTGTCTTGGTCAGTCCGAGCCTCTAGAAAGGCAAAGAAAATTCTCATAATTCTGAAGATGCCTTAAGTGTGGATTTCTTAGCCTCACATGAGTAAGGATAGGAACCCCTAAAAACGTCTCTGTGAGCATCAGCCATCACAAATGAACCCAAAGAACCATAAATATAGCAGCCAAGCCTTGGGCATCAATAAACAACATCAACGATCCTAAGGCTGCCAGAAAGAAGAACCATGTTTTTTGTTTTCATCTTCAACCAAAATATTTCGAGAGCCGTATCACACACAAAGCTACTTGTACACAAAACGAAGCAGGTACACGGCAGATGACAAACAAATTCTGACTTAAATAAACAATATAGGTGATGGAATAAACTGTTTTACAGTGTAAAAAGACAAATAAACCAAAATAATTAGTAATCGGAGGTTTTTGGGTTAGCTCGCGTAAATATAAACAAAACATCCCAATTCGCTACTTGTGCCAGGTGGTGGAGGGTTTAAGAACACGTTTATATTTACGAGCTCTACCCCCAATAACCTATTATGGATAATATTGGTCGCGAAAGCCTACGACTCTACGTGTTAAACAAAAATCAGTTTTTTTAAACAGCTGCTCACAAGGGAGCAGCCAAAGAACCACTGCATGCGGATTTGGAACCATAGGTTGCCAACTCCTGGGCTGCACGAAACTTATCCAAATTATATGGGTGGCTTAAGGTTTGGTTTTGCAAGCCTCAGACATGAGCAATGACACATTCTTAGGCTGCCAGGCTGGTTCTGTCACTAAACAAATCCATTGAACCATCATAACCCCCAAATCACTGACCCAGTGACAGAAATCCCCTGTTTGCCTCCTCCCCCACACAGCCAGCAGTGGACTTTGAGATTCCGCCATCTGAGCTTGTGAATTTTCCTACACGTGTGGCCAGGTACCACCCTGTTGCTGAAGAAACACAGCTGGATCAGATTCTGTTAATGATTGCGTGGTTAAGGTTTCACAAAACGTCAACAGTCACACCACAATTACTGTACAGGCGGCAAGACTCGCAACAGTACAACACCCTAAGCTTAACGACAATATAAAATCAACAAAAATAAATGCAACTAATTTGGTAATGTAACATATAAAGTCAAAAGTGTACCCCGAGCACTATTGTGGCGTTCATCTCTGTTTGCAACCTAATAGTCAGGGTAAGTTCCACATTCCTGTGACGTGGGCTAGTGTCTCCACTGGCACTCGGTTCGTCAACCCCCATGAGATAAAGGGCGACGCCGACCTAGCACTCTGTCACAGCAAAGCTATGGTTTAAAAATAAATAAACTGGGCAATTTTTCTAAAATATTGTTTGCTGGAGCGCCACTCGCAATCATCAGACTGCAGGTTAACATCCCGGTTGAAGATAAACACAGCCCATAAGCTCCCCCCACCCAAGAATGGATGGTCCGGCCCTTCCTGAAGAATGTAGAGTTTTCACCACTCAATACGGAGATAAGCTCATAAAGATCTGCTCGAAAGGAACTCCTCAAATGAGTTGAGCACACTTGAGCAGAGAAACCTTGCATTAAAGACTCGATGCGTAGACAATACACATTCAGTACAGGTTTCCAACAGGATCTGCGATTCATGGACTGGGCTTATTGCCAATATAGGTCCTGAGCCGATGACATGAATTTCATATTATTATGGAGTGGGTGACCCTAACCTTAACAATCCCTATTGCTTACTTCAATGCTTTCCCTCCACAATGCAGTGGTATAGTAATGACCACAAAAGCAACAGCTGTATTGTACAACAGCATATTCATGTTGAATATTGTGGGAGTTATTAAAATTACACGTGAACAATGATATTTACAAACCCAACACACACGCATAGGGCACACGATTTGGAGGCAAGGGTTAGTGGATCATGTAGAGGTGTATACTGTAAAAAACCGTAAAAGCAGTAAGATAGCCAGGAAATAGCAATACGCCAAATAGGCTTCTAATCCATCTGTGCAGACCATCGAGTCGTGTCTCCTCTCATGCATACGTTTTCGCCAGGTAATCGGGTTTCCTCACACAAAGCACTCCTTAAAAATGAATTGGCCAGACATCCGAATGTGGCAGGGCACTCCTGAAAACGAGTCCGAGACCTTGAAAAGGCGTCGTGTAAAAACATAAACATTCGTGAAATGGGAAATCCCTTTTAGCATGAACTGATGAGGAAGAAGCTCACCATGGATCCTATTGTCCGTGTTCATCTTCGCATTTACTCAGCATTAATCAACACCATAGTCGTCATTATCAATATCACCGCAACCATCACCACTGATGAACATTACCGCTATCAACATCGTCACCGTGTTAACCCCGACAAAGTGGAACACAGAAAAAGAGTCAGTCATTCTCACACAATTAATCGCCCAACAATAACAGTATCATCATCGCCAGTCCATGACCAACAACAACCGCCATTCGCCACTAAGTGGTGGTGACATCACCACGGCGCTTGTGCCAGGCTATGTGCACGTTAAGGCCGCGTGAAGGGTCGAACGCGCGCTGGCAGGAAGTCACGGAACAGACCCCAGCAAGTGCCATGGGTCGACTGGCTGAGATGACTGGCCGATGCACCACCTGTGACCCCTACTGTGCCAACTTGCTGTGTTTTATCCACCCGGCGCTCTGCTCGTTGTTTTGAGCATCGCTCCTCTGTCCTCCGTTTTTGCTGGGAAGGGCGATTGCCTCCAACTCCCCGGTAGCGTCATAAAAAAACATCACCAGACGAACAAGTGGGAAAAGGCATGATCCGCCTGTATGCTCCTACACCTCGTCCTATATCGGCTAGAGCATTTGCCTTGTCGCGGATAACCAGACAACAGGATCGGCCAAAGCTCCTGGCGATTCCCTCGTGTCTTTGCCGAGGCACGGATAAATAGCGTGGATTCGCAAAACACAATTCTGATCACAACCTCTCTTAATCTCTGCGATGGCTCTGATAAATTGGCAATACTGTAGGAGCGCACACAGATGCAAGATGCGATGCTCACATATGATGCGTCGATAACAGAAAGTGCATAAAGGAGGCGCGTTTCACTCCAAACGACGTTCAAGTCGAACCTCGGATGGAATCATCTACGTGACATTACAGCATTGCCGAGTTGCGTCCGACGCTACGCAGTCAACGGCACGTGCTACACGACATGTACACAAACATTGTTTGATAGATTCCGTCTCCATATATAAAGCATGCCGACTAGAGCAGTCGCCACAGACACGCATGCACAAAGCATGGGTCTTGTGACACACTGGACACTCTTGCAAACGAGAGGAGGTTGCCATACCGTGTCAACTCATACGGTTTACCCCGTATTCTTGTACAGGGAAATTGAGTTATCAGGATCATACGGCGTACAGCCGTTTCGTTACGGGCAAATGTGTGTTTTTTGTCTATTAGTGTTTATCCCCTGTGATTGGACCTGGTAGGATGAATGTTGAGATGTATAAGGGACACGGGGTGACCAATAAGGCCTGAATTGGGTCTGTAATGAGGTAGGGCACTTTGAGGTTCCAACCACCATCGAGGGAGTGTAGTAAAATCTTCGAACTTTAAAAATAATGCGTATTGCTGCAAAAACAGTCGAGGCAAAGGCAACAGTGAAATGCCCAAGGGTTCAATGCTGGACCCGACGACACTCAAAATAACAATTGCAAGGCGCTACTATAACCAAGGTAACCCAGTAATATTAACCAATGGATATTACATTGCATTATACCCGACATGATTAAACATTCAACAGCATTATTAAATCACTGACATTATGAACAATAGATACTTGTATTATATAATGCACGCTTATCTCTACATGAATTACATTAGATAACAATATATGTCGGCATTATTCAAGATTAATACAGACAGTACATAAAACACGCTCCATTGCTAAAGAATAACAGTAAGTGATCAAACACGTGCCATAAAAAATCATTAAACGCATTATAATATAATTAATGACATTATAACAATGCCACCACCGCAATATTGTCCGTCAATGTTACCTGGGCGGGTCCCGAAGGCGGGCCTACGGCTCGCCGCGCACGGCCCTGCGGGACGAGGGGCGCCTTCCCGGGCAGGACAACTAGCCGAGGTACGGTATCCGGGAGGCTCCCCCGGCGTAAACCCCACCCACCAACCCCAAGAACGCCGTACGCGAATCCCAGGGGATGCTAGCAGACGCCGCCAGACCCCCGAGCAACCGCGACGAGACCCGCGCGGGGTAACGAACGGGAGCGCAGAGGAGGTGCGGGGGAAGCCTAGGGGAGCCTCGGGGAGCCTCGGGAGCGGTGAGGCGAGGCGGAGCCGCGAGTTGATCGCAAGAGCCCGGACGGAGTCCCCCCGCCACCGCCGCCGCCCCCCCGGGGGAAGACGGCTCTCATTGGTGGGCGCGGAGCACGTGGCCGGCTCGTCACGTAGGCGGAGCGGGGGTGGCTTTAAAACAAATTAATCTGGACACAACGACCCCTCGAATAACGAACTAATTAGGTTTCAGAGGGCAGAACCTAATGAGTTAGGTTCCAGAGGGCAGTTAGGTTCCAGAGGACAGTTAGGTTCCAGATAACATAACGAGTTAGGTTTCAGAGGGCAGTTAGGTTCCAGAGTACAGTTAGGTTCCAGATGACATAACATAACGAGTTAGGTTTCAGAGGGCAGTTAGGTTCCAGAGGACAGAACCTAATGAGTTAGGTTCCAGCGGGCAGTTAGGTTCCAGAGTACAGTTAGGTTCCAGATGACATAACATAACGAGTTAGGGTTCAGAGGGCAGTTAGGTTCCAGAGGACAGAACCTAACGGGTTAGGTTCCAGAGGACACAACCTAATGAGTCAGGATCTGTTCGCCTTTTGGCATTTTCTGGTCTGACACTGGTGAGACTAGGCCCTAAAGAAGGCTGTCTCTGATGTTGGCCAATCAGTTTCAAAGACAATGCCATATATTATCAGAGTACGTGTGTTTGCATGTTCACCACAAGTGCTCACGATTCTCAGTCCGAACAATCAACTTTCATATGCAGACAGGTTTGTTCGTATCTCTGAAAGTTCGTAAATCGAATGTTTTTAGGTAGAGGAGTCCCCGTATTTATACCAGAGGAGAAATCCTATAAGCTATAAAGCTCTTGTTCACAGGTATCTAAGTAGTTTTCACAGATGTCCAAATAGACAAATGACCCGGTGCACAGGCACAGTCAACATTGGCCATGACCACGGCGTGAGATTATTTAGATTATTTTGCTGCGATACATTTCCACATGATAACCCACTTTGCTGATCTATCATTTGTGGGCCACGTCGCTTCTGAAAAATAAATTAATACCTCAGTGGACTTTACCTGGTAGGGTAAAATAATTGAGTTTGATTTGCATTTTTATTGTAAGTGATTTGTTTATCTTTCCTATCCTTTGCACTCCTATCGTGTTTTTGTATTGGTTGCTGTAACGTTCTGAACCCGCCCCTAACTGGACATCTGTGAAAAAGAGCTTTATAGCTCATCGGATTCCTCCAGTATGAATACATATTCGGATTCCGATATATAAACTAAAACTATTTAAAAAAACATGTATTTTAACAGGTAAGGCCCACTTTTCAGAAGCCACCTGACCACAAATGATAGCTCAACGAAGTGGCTTATGGGGTGGAAATGTAAAATGCAGCCAAATACACTAAACGCGAGATGTTGATTCTAATTGTGGAGGCAAAAACTGGAGCACCCAGAGAAAAATCCACACGACCACGGGGAAAGAGAAACATGCAAACTCCAAATATACAGCAGGCGTCAGAATCGGAATCAAACTCACGACCTCCTGTATACCAGGCAAGGTAGTTGACATATCACCAACGTGGCACCCCTAGTATATACTAGGCGACGTTTCAGGTAATGCCCCTTCTTCACAGCACATATATTTAGAGGCCAGCAAAGAGACAGAGTGGATGAGAAAGAGTTGGAGATGACACTTGTTTACACCATGAGGCCTGATGAGAATTAAATGTTTTGTGTTTCCTGATTACCAGTTTTTAAATCGGTGTATGGAGTTACCTATTAAGTCTCTGTTGAGTAGCAGACAAATGTTTCAAAAAGCAAAACATATATAATAAATGAAAGCAGCTTTAATTTGTATTAAAAGCAAGCATAATTATAAAATGTTGCTGGCAAATTACCATATGACTCTTTTTCAAGAGGGCCCTGCATTGCATTTAATCTTAGGATTGTTTTTGTCAATTACTGAGCATTTTTATAGAAGTGAGAGAATAAAGCGGAGCACACGGAAGAAAAAAAGCACGCAACACATGAGGGTGGGGGGTGGGTGAGCAACACTGTCTACCAGGGGGTCAGCAACATGCGGCTCTTTAATGAACTGCGGAAATGTGAAAATATGGCTCCTCTTGTTATTTTGTTTAACGAGCCGTGCCCACGCTTACCATGGAAGTCCACGTCACCATGGAAGTTCAGTTTAGCATGGGCCATAGGGTCGGAAACCTGCGGTTCGTGTGCCGAATGCGACTGGCTCATTAAGGACTGCTACGTGACTCGTTATTTATTACAATCTACTCACGTAGATTGTGCCTCTTGAAATATTGGGGTTTTTTTATTTTCACCGAATTCGAAAAAATCGCTGAAATGGCTCTTGTTGTTTTGGTTTCCGAGTCCTGCTCAATACACACGGAAACAGCTGGCGGTTTGGCAACTTGCTGTTACTGCCTTCTGGCGAGCCAGGGGTGTGGCACCACGATGGCCACAGGAAGGGAGTTTCATACCTGTGTGTGCGTGTGAACCACCAACCCTCTCCGATGCCTCCGCAGTGCTGGGTCTCAGGCAGCGAACAGCCACCACAGCCCGGCTGCAGTGAGCTCAATGAAACTGTAATTAGCATAATCCACTTATTGATGCATTCCTGGGCCCAATTATCATTGCAATAGGATTAGAGGGACTCTCAGGAAATGGACCACCATCAACACCGATAAGTAACACTGCCACCACTAGCACCAGCACCACCACAAGTGCCACAATTCTGGATAATCGTCTGATGAAGCTTGTTGTAATCACCAACGAATTGTAAATGTCGTGGGTTTACTCTCCCAACACACCGGTGTGCTTAAGTCGTAACTCACTGCAATGTTTTGTTTACGTGATGAACCTTAATAATTGGCTTTGCCAGGTGGTGGCGGGTTTAACGACACATCGTGGACTACCATCACTGCTACAGTACCGCCACTTTAACAGTACTGCCACGGGTACCGCCATCACCACCACCATCGCCACACCTGGAGAAATCTCGCAATGCGCGCTGTGCGAAACCAAAAACAATACAGGTCTCACTTCTGAGAATTTGCAACAATACCACGAGAAATGTGCCTCCGGGCTCTGGAGACCACCTGGAGAATATTCCAGGCACGTGTTGACAATGATGGCGAACAAGTCGAGACTCTTTGAAGCTATTAACATACATTTGTTATCACGGCACAGCGTGCTATCCGTTCTTTTTCCATTAAAGACGATAGTCCCATATAAGTGTTAACAATTTTTTTAAAGGACCCTGTAACATGGGAGTGGCCGACGCAGATCCAGAGGAAAGAGGCTCTGGGCACGGACACAGGACCCGTTTGTGAGCAGCTCAATCAGTCGTTCATAGCAACAGTCGCGGCCGGTAGGAGGCCCCTCTGTGGAAATGTCAGGGTGATCGGGTTTCACGCCAGGGAGGATGAAAAGAGCCTCCCGTGTTTTTGGCCCCATTTCCATTTTCGCTTCGTTTGCATCAATGCCCTGCATTAAGACTTGCCTCGTGCATGCATACACACCGCGCGCACGCTACATACACACAGACTAGTACAGACATACACACCTACACGCAGACACATAGACAGACAGACACATACACACATATTCATACAGACACACACGCACACAGACACAGCACGCACACGACATACACACAAATACAGACAAGTACATACACAGATACAGACACCGCACGCACACATACACAGATAGGTACAGACATAAACACATACAGACACACAAAGACAGAAATACAGACACACATAGACACACAAGACAGGAACAAGTACAGAAACATACAAAAAAAAGACAAAGATCTCCCGTGTAGCCTTAACAGACTGTTGGGGGAAGTGCTGTTAGCAAGTAGCACCTATAATGGGCAAGGATTGCCCAGTTACACACACACAAGGATGACCCAGTTACACACACACAACACAAGGATTGCCCAGTTACACACACACAAGGATGACACAGTTACACACACAACACAAGGATGACCCAGTTACACACACAACAATAATTACCCAGTTACACACACACAACAATAATTACCCAGTTACACACACACACAACAAGGATTGGCCAGTTACACACACAAGAATTGGCCAGTTACACACGAGACAAATATCCCAGGCCAAAAGTTCTAAGGTCGTAGGGTTCTAAGTAGCACTATGCTCCACACACAAAGACAAACACACACAGAGTGCACATTCATTAAGTTACCAAGTTCCCTGTTGGCACAGGCAGATAAACAACCACGTCTTCTTCTACTTCTAGTGTATGACAAGTATGTGTAAATACTGTATACATCCAGGTTTACGTTTGTGAGCCAAGTGATAGCTGTAGAAGTGTTGTGACGAATACCGTCTAGCGCACTGGAGAGCGGGCATAGAATTCGGCTGTTCAACCACTTAATTATACGTAAATATTGCCTTTATTGCTTTAACGAATTGCATGTTACATACAAATGAAGAAACAAACATCGGTACACACACACACACACTTACGTAGGCAGCACTTCGTAAGAAGTCAAAAGTGATCGCCCTATGAATAGGCTGTCCTCCAGCATGGGAATGTGGAATTTCCACCACTGGTTTGTGGCCACCAAGGGAGAGGAGCACCACCAGCCACTGCTCGTTTGAGCAGGGAGACACCGCGACACCACAGGTAATGTGGTCGCACGGCGAGCGTGCCTCAACACTCAACTTGGAAGGTGGTGAGATCACATCCCGGTTGGGGTTCAGTGCAGTCCATCTTCCCACCTTGATCGATAAAATTGTCACTTCGTGAAAAATGCACAGTGCGTTGTCCTGTGTAGAAAGTGGCCCTTGCCATAGCAATATGGAATTTCCACCACTGGCTCAGGGCCAATCATGAACAGTGAAACACTTTGACGTGACTTATGATGCCCACATATTACCTATACAGTACAACATTGTTTACATGTAAACTACGTACATATACAGGGTGATCCATTTAGAGACACCTCAATGATACACAATGACACCTCTTGTCAATAGCTGATTGAATTTTGTGAATGTATCGGCTCCATGCCTGAAAGAGGAACAAAGGAAAGTGGTAGCACGGAGGCGTTGTTCAATTCCCACCACGGCCGCCACTCAGCCAATTCTCTCTGCACGGTCCAAAGTTCGACCTCGAGTTCGAGTCGCCGCGGTGCTGACGTGCCCCACCAACCCCGGCACTGTAAGCGGCCGACGGGTTTAGTTGTCAGGTTCAAGCAAGGCCGTGAGAGGCCAACGAGATCCTGGGTAATGCGAGCATCATCCACAGCAGACGAGTCTCTGGTCGTGACGATGACAACCACGGACACTGGGACAGGAGCAGCTCAGTGTGTCCAAACATCCGCCACCAACCACCACACCAAGAAAACCAATACACGAGGTTAAATAATAAAATAACAACCCTCTTCACCGGTTAAATAAAAAGCACGAAACAGAAAGAATGACCACATTTTTGTGCTGTGGAGCAAGTCCTGATAAAATGCCCCAAAATGAACACGTATTTTTTTTATTTTTTTATTTTAAGGCCACAGTGTTTTTGACGAGGGTGTTTGGATGTTTTGTGATCTGTGCACCACTGCGTCCGCAGTTTCTCATAATTGTTGGCTTAATTTTTTTTACGAGAAATACAAAGCGCCGTTTCCTGATGGGCATTCGGTCATTCATTCACCAGCAGAGACCGAGTACCCAATGGCCCTGCGTCATCGGCATTCAGTATGGCTCTATGACAGCGCTTCCCACCGTCCTCCTCGCTCATCTGTGCGCCCTCACGTCAGCGCGCCCTCACGTCAGCATCATCTCTGCAGCAGCGGGTTCTTCTGGCCAGCCAGGCTGGGCAGCAGGGGCAGGGTGGCCTTACTGGGCGCCTGGGATGGCGAGGAGGAGGCGGCAGCTGCAGACTTGCTTTGCGTGCGACGCACAAACGACGGCACCTGCGCGGCACGTCAAGCGACACACGCGTTCGCGCTCGCCGTCACGTCCGGGCATCTCTCCCCCAAGCAAGCGCGCAACCTACATCACCTGCCGTGTGTGTGGTGGACGCTCATCCCAAGCGCCTATCCGGGCCCCGAGGCTGCTTAGCCTTCCCGAGATCCAACGAGACCGCGTGCATTGCGGGTGCTTCGGTGCACCGCGTAACGAAACTCGTGGATTTTCTGGCCGCCGTGGTAGCAACATAAGAAACTTGACGTGTACCCGCCATGATTTCCACTGTGCACTGCCATGTAATTCCTACTCCATGTGTAGTGTCATGAAATGCCACGTGCACTGCTATGTACTGGGTACACGGCGTGCTTCTGTGCTACGTCACATGTACCACTACGTATAATATTCTGGATTACCGTAAAATGTAACGTGTCCTACTATGTAACGTGTCTGCTATGTCTACTGCCATGTACGATGTACACAATGTGTACCGCGATGTGCACCGCTATGTGTCATGTATGCTATGTGTATCACTATGCGCCGTGTGCGCTATGTGTACTGCTATGCACCGTGTACACTTGGTGGACTGCGATGTGCTCCCTGTTCTACGTACGGCCGGGGGAGACAAGGGGTCCAGGTGTCGCCCCAGGAAGGAGAGAAGTCGCCTCCACATGAGACCGCTCCCCAGCAGCATGAGCCCCGTGACCAGCCAGAACACACGTGGGTCCTCAAAGCACCAAGACGAACACAAAAAAGACAAAGATCCCCCGTATAGCCATGCCCGACTCTCGGGTCAAGTGCTGTTAGCGAGCACCTATGAAAGCCGGCACGGCACACGAGGGGGTGGCCAGCACCACGCTCGGCCACCTTTGTCTCCCGAGTAACGATGTTTACACATGGCAACAGGTACTCATTGAGGCTGAGTCGACCTAGGGGAGACCCTGGACTGGTTCAGATAATCGTTATTGGTGTTGGCAGTTGGAGCAAGTGGCATTAGTGAGCACCTATTAAGGTGGGTACAGTGCACGAGGTGGTGTGACCAGCACTCTGGCTGATCATCATCGCCTTCCCAGTGTTGGTGCTTATACACCGCACCAGGTACTAATTTGTAGCCAAATAGAATGAGAGGGGCCCAGGAGGGGCATGGATATCACTTGCCACTGGTTTTGCCCGTGGCTGGGAATAAAAATCCCGGTCACTGAGATCATAGAACAGTGCACTAACCAGTACGTCACAGCTCCACCCACGCATAACAACACCACCAACAGCTGACATTCGTCGCTAAGTGGCGGTGATGTCACCAAAGCGCTTGTGCTGGGCTCCACGCACTTTGAGGCCACGTGAAGAGTCAAAGGCTCGCAGGCAGAAGGTCAGGCGACATTATTTTTAGGAGGGTTGTGCTTTGTTCTCCATGTGGGAGGAAATCACAGTGCCTGGAGGAAACCCATAAGAGGGGGACAGGAAACTCAAGCGCCACTCACAGAAATCTGCTTGTGGTTCTGCTTCTTACAGGTCAGTGGGTGTCATCACACCCATTGCCATCATGACTCCCATCCCTGCGTGATCCACCAACCCTGCGAACAATTTGCCGCACGAGCAGGCGATGGCAGGCGGTGTGCGTACCTCCTCGAGCGACGAGTTGAGATTCATGCCAAAGGCGACGCCAATCAGCCCGAACAGTGACAGGGAGAAGGTGCCCATGGTGAGCTGCAGGTTGAGCCGCATCATCACGTTACGGTGGCTGCGCACACACACACAAAGACAAAGATTCCCCGTGTAAGCGCAAAATACTTTTCGGGCAAGTGCTGTTAGCGAGCACCTACAGTGAGGGAAAAAAGTATTTGATCCCCTGCTGATTTTGTACGTTTGCCCACTGACAAAGAAATGATCAGTCTATAATTTTAATGGAAGGTTTATTTGAACAGTGAGAGACAGAATAACAACAACAAAATCCAGAAAAGTGCATGTCAAAAATGTTATGAATTGATTTGCATTTTAATGAGGGAAATAAGTATTTGACCCCCCTCTCAATCATAAAGATTTCTGGCTCCCAGGTGTCTTTTATACAGGTAACGAGCTGAGATTACGAGCACACTCTTAAAGGGAGTGCTCCTAATCTCAGCTTGTTACCTGTATAAAAGACACCTGTCCACAGAAGCAAACAATCAATCAGATTCCAAACTCTTCACCATGGCCAAGACCAAAGAGCTCTACAAGGATGTCAGGGACAAGATTGTAGACCTACACAAGGCTGGAATGGGCTACAAGACCATTGCCAAGCAGCTTGGTGAGAAGGTGACAACAGTTGGTGCGATTATCCGCAAATGGAAGAAACACAAAAGAACTGTCAATCTCCCTCGGCCTGGGGCTCCATGCAAGATCTCACCTCGTGGAGTTGCAATGATCATGAGAACGGTGAGGAATCAGCGCAGAACTACACAGGAGGATCTTGTCAATGATCTAATGGCAGCTGGGACCATAGTCACCAAGAAAACAATTGGTAACACACTACGCCGTGAAGGACTGAAATCCTGCAGCGCCCGAAAGGTCCCCCTGCTCAAGAAAGCACATATACATGCCCGTCTGAAGTTTGCCAATGAACATCTGAATGATTCAGAGGACAACTGGGTGAAAGTGTTGTGGTCAGATGAGACCAAAATCGAGCTCTTTGGCATCAACTCAACTCGCTGTCTTTGGAGGAGGAATGCTGCCTATGACCCCAAGAACACCATCCCCACCGTCAAACATGGAGGTGGAAACATTATGCTTTGGGGGTGTTTTTCTGCTAAGGGGACAGGACAACTTCACCGCATCAAAGGGACGATGGACGGGGCCATGTACCATCAAATCTTGGGTGAGAACCTCCTTCCCTCAGCCAGGGCATTGAAAATGGGTCGTGGATGGGTATTCCAGCATGACAATGACCCAAAACACACGGCCAAGGCAACAAAGGTGTGGCTCATGAAGAAGCACATTAAGCTCCTGGAGTGGCCTAGCCAGTCTCCAGACCTTAATACCATAGAAAATCTGTGGAGGGAGCTGAAGGTTCGAGTTGCCAAACGTCAGCCTCGAAACCTTAATGACTTGGAGAAGATCTGCAAAGAGGAGTGGCACAAAATCCCTCCTGAGATGTGTACAAACCTGGTGGCCAACTACAAGAAACGTCTGACCTCTGTGATTGCCAACAGGGGTTATGCCACCAAGTACAAAGTCATGTTTTGCACGGGGTCAAGTACTTATTTCCCTCATTAAAATGCAAATCAATTTATAACATTTTTGACATGCATTTTTCTGGATTTTTTTGTTGTTATTCTGTCTCTCACTGTATTAGCGCATGCTGACTGGACAAGCAACGTCATACGTCACATGTTCAGGCGTTATGACGTCATCACGTGGCATCGTGATGTGTGTACCTCTCGTCTCCCGGTTCTGCATAGCTCTCATTTAGCACCCTTTCGTCACACTCACCTCTTTAGCTTGTCTACCACTCTCTCATCTCTCTCATTCGACTCCCTTACATCTCTCTAATCTATATCTCGTTATGACTCGATGATCTATCTCGGGTGGCCCTAGCAAAGTGGGTAACTTGTTATCTTATTTTAGATTTATAGAGTGCTTTAGCTTCAGTCGCTTTACATAGCTTATAACCAGTACAAGAATGGAGTGATTTATATGGCATGGGGTCAGGAAAGGGCTACAGGGGAGGGACGGGAAGGAGTGGAGGGGCGAGGGGAGGGACGAGGAAGGGAATGGGCAACGAAGAAGGAGGAAGTGGAGTTTCCCGCGGTCGATGGACAGGAGTTTGGGGTCAACGAGGGCGTCCAGGATGGCCATCATGGCCGACTCCAGGTCGCCGAGGTAGCTCTGCAGCTCGCTCAGCTGCGCCGGACGACGACGACGCGCGGATGCACGCGCGCATGCGCACATACAAAGACAAAGGTCCCCAGGGTAGCCGACACAGGTTGGACTCGAAGTGTGGCGAGCTACCCACTGCGTTACCACTGCACCCCGTGCTTTAAGATAGGAAAGAAAGGAGGTTAAGGAGGGAGACTGCTAAATGTACAGGGGCCTCAGTTAGGCCGCCAGTCGAAGAAGTCTGCTTGAGCAGGCTGCATGACCGTGCCGGCCAGCCGAGCAGCGCACCTGTCGAGGTTGAGGAAGATTACGCTCTCCGAGTCGTCGATGAGCCCCTTGAGCTCGCGCACGGCGTTGAAGAGCGCGTCGGCCTCGTGCAGGAACACCTCGAGCAGCAGCTCCATCTCGTCCGCGTGGTCCATGCCCACACTGCTCGCCTCGCTGCTCACCATACGCATACACAACTGCAATTCACTGCTAAGTGGCGGTGACATCACCATGGTGCTTGTGCCAGGCTATGTGCATTTTAATCCCACTTGAAGCGTCAAACGCCCACTGGCAGGAGGTCACGGGACAGACCCAGGTGCCATGGGTCGGCTGACTGAGATGACTAGCCGATGCACCACCTATGCCCCCTACTGTGCCAATTTGCTATGTTTTAGCCACCCAGCGCTCCGCTCGTTGTTGCGTCACTCCTCTGCCCTCCGTTGTTGCTGGAGGGCGACTGCCTCCAACTGCCTAGTAGCGTCCTTCACGAGCCTCCTCCAGAGGCCCATTTTGACAGCAATGGTACCAGTCATCGGCAAGTCCACTCAGCTCCACATCCTCTTGTACCACATCACTTCATCTCTTCTCTAGCCCGTGCCACGCCCGTTTAGCCCCCTCTATTTGGCCGAACAAAAGCTGTTTAGGCATGTGGTGGCCGGGCATGCAGGCTACATTACTCAGCCAACACAGCCTTGCCTGCCAGGGGAGCTCAAGGATCTGTGAGCTCACAAAATCCAGCCTGCTTAAACCCAGGATGGATCGTAGGCAGGCCAGCCTAAATATTTCTAACCGGCTAAGAAGTTATCTTTGGGGGGTCCACGTTTCGTAAGCATAGAGAAGGAAGGGCATGACCGTGGCCGAGAAGACCCGAAGCTTCGTGTGGCGTGACAGACCAGGTAGCTTTCACACAGCGTTACGCAGCCAATGAAAGGATAATGCCGCTCGACTGAATCAGAGTGATACTTTTGCCTTCAAACCGGACCTGGTCATGAGCACACTGCCCAGGCATGGGAAAACTCTCCACTCTGTCCACAACTGGCCCATCACCAATTGAAGTTGTGGGGGTGGAGTGTCTGATGACACACAATATTCTGTGGAGGTACGCACACACGTACACACACAAGTGCACGCACACATGCACACACGTGCAAATACACACGCAGTCACACACACAGGTGGTTACATGCGTAGCGACATCGTCGCATGTCGCTGGATGCGGGGCCTGCTTGCCTAAGGCACGGCACGGAACGTACTGCCACGGCTGGGGGTGGATGCAGTACCAGCCCCAGAAGAAAAGGGGCAAGGGGGGCCTACCCAAGGACCCCCCCGAAGGGGGGCTGAGGGGACCATGTGGACAGATGGGGATCCCTACGGGGGGGCCTTGAAAGGGGGCGGGGCTGAGGGCGGAGCAAGCCCCGCACAGGGGATAAAAAGTGGGTCCCCCGTTGGGACGGTAGTTGTTTCTGAGCAAGAAGCTGGGTCCACGTCGGAAGAGGCGCTATCCCAGGGGGTCCGTACCCGAGTGGGACCCGAGTGGGACCCGAAGAGGGATAGCTAGCGGGGTGTGTGTTAGGGTAGCTAGCCCGGTGGGTTACCACCTTAGCGTAGCTGGTAAAGGGGCAGCTACCCCTTTGTGTTAGACTAAATAAACGTGTTGCCTCCAACATGACGCCTGAGTCTCCATTTATACCCACCACACATGCACACAAATGCCTGCCCAGGTACGCACGTACACACGCGTGCATGGGCACACCGTGCCTCGCGGCTGGTGGTGCGGTGCCAGAGTGGTGGAGCCAGGTGGAGGCGGGTGGAAGTGGGTGGAGACGTGTGGAGGAGGGTGGAGGTGGGCGGAAGTGGTTGGAGGTAAGGAGACGAGTGCTGGGTTGTGTGGAGAAGCCCCGTGTGCTCTGCGAGCCGCACTATGCACGTGGGTTGCTCCACTTGCTGAGGCACAGCTCCTCCATGAGTTCCTCATCGTCCAGGATCTTCAGCAGAACGTCCTTGAGCACACGCACATCCGTCTCCAGCTCCGACAGGCTGCACACATGCACGCACACGCACGGGTGCACACAGCCGCGACACATGTGACGCATGCAAGCACCAACACTGAGCGCCGCGGTGGTGAGATATCAACTGCCTCGCCTGGTATACAATACAGGAGGTCGTGGGTTCGATCCTGACCCTGACGCTTATATTATTTTGAGTTTGCATCTTCACCCCGCGGTCGCCTGGATTTTTCTCCGCGTCCTCAGGTTTTTCCCTCCACATTTAGAATGAACGTGCGTTTAGATTATTTGGCTGCAATACATTTCTGCGTAACAAGCCACTTAGTTGAGCTATAATTTGTGGCCAGGTAGCTTCTGAAAAAGAGCTATACAGCTCGGTGGGCCTGACCTGGTAAAATAATAATAGTTAACAGTTTTTTATCTATATCTTTACACGGGGAGAGCCCAGGGATAGGGAGAAACACGATACATGCACACACACACACAGAGAACACAGACAGCTCACTAACAACGACAGACGCGCAATTCACAAGCACGCAATGACTGAACAAGAGGAGACCCTACCACCAAGTGTACAGAGACAATGACCAGGGTGGCAAGGAGCAGTGAGCAGTGAGGGACGACGGCAGGTGTTGGCGAGGCGTGGTGAGCGAAGACGCTGCACCGCTAGAGTCACTGCTCACCTCTTGCTGCTCTGAAGGAGGAGGTGGAGTTTCCCGCGGTCGACGGACAGGAGTTTGGGGTCAACGAGGGCGTCCAGGATGGCCATGATGGCCGACTCCAGGTCGCCGAGGCGGCTCTGCAGCTCGCTCAGCTGCGCCGGATGACGACGCGCAGATACACGCGTGCGTGCGCACATACAAAGACAAAGGTCCCCAGGATAGCCGACACAGGTTGGACTCGAAGTGTGGCGAGCTATCCACTGCGTTACCACTGCACCCCGTGAGAAAAACATAAGGGAACGAAGATATTCGGCAGGTCGAAAGCAATCCTGCTGCGCACGATCGTGTGGTTGCGATCTACCACCCGTTGCTGTTGTTGATGTCCGACGTTTCACTCCATGCGCTGAGGGCTACTTCAGCAACTGAAGCTCCCGGCACATGGAGCGAAAGGTCGGGCAACATGCCGAACAACATGCGGCAAATACACTCCAGAAGGAAGAAAAATATTCCCAGATTGATGATATTCATTCCTGGGGAAACAGATATTTGAAGGAAATACACATGCACATACTCAATGATGCCACTCCAGAAGCCCCTGGTCTCATCTGGTGCACCTTGATCTCACCTGGTGTCCCCTCGTCTGACCCGATGCCCCCCCCGTCTCACCCAGTGCCCCCCGTCTCACCCAGTGCCCCCCCCCCGTCTCACCCAGTGCCCCTCCCCCGTCTCACCCAGTGCCCCCCCCCGTCTCACCTGGTGCCCCCTCGTCTCAACTGGTGCCCCCCCCCCCCAAAACCCCCCGTCTCACCTGGTGCACCCCCTCGTCTCACCTGGTGCTGCAGGATGGCCTCGAGGGCCCAGAACTCGAAGGGCAGCGAGTAGGAGGCGAGCTGCCCCTCCCCCGCCAGCTGGGGGCCCAGCTCCGCCTGCAGCCACGACTCGAGGCTCGGGTGACGGTAGTCGAGTACCAGCAGGCTGTCGGGGCTCACCACGGCCTTCAGCTGCTGCTCGCTCCGCACGGCACGGGAGGGGCGCAGTCAGCCGGGCAGTCGAGCAAAGCGCGGGCCGAGTCGCCAATGCTAGCGGTCAAGCAGTCAAGCAAGTGGGCAGACGTTTCATGCAAAAACATCAGACGATCATCGCTCAGCGTGCCCACAAGATCCCCCATACAGCCTTGACAGACTGTTGGGGCAAGTGCTGTTCGTGAGTAGCATCGATGAAGGCCGGAGCGGCGCACGAAGGGGTGTGTGGCCAGCACCACACCTGACCGCTTTTGTCGCCCAAATGGCGATGTTTGCATGCCACACTAGATACTAATTTGAGAATGAGTCGACCTAGGGGAGGCCCAGGGCCGGTTCAGATCATCGTCACAGGCGCTGGCCGTGAGCTCGAATCGAACCTGGGTCGCCGAGTTCGTAGCGCAGCGCGCTAAATGCGCACACACAGACGTGCACGAACACACAAAGATCCCCCGTATAGCCTTAACAGACTGTAGGGGCAAGTTCTGTTAGCGAGCACCTATAAAGGCTGGCATGGCACACGAGGGGGTGGGTGGCCAACACAACGCTCGGTTGCCTTTGTCTCCCTAGCGGCGATGTTTACACATCGCACCAGGTAGTCATTTGAGGTTGAGTCGACCTAGGTGAGGCCCAGGACCGGTTCAGATAATCGTCACTGGTGGTGGCCATGAGCGGGAATCGAACCGAGGTCGCCAGGTTCGTAGCGCAGCACGCTAACCACTTTACTACCACACGCGCACACATGCGCACACACGCTCGTGCACACACGCGCACACCTCCATGTGCAGGATGATGCGGTTGTTGCGGGTGAAGATGCCAACGGGCGGCTGAAAGCGCAGGTCTCGCGCCTGGAGGCCCAGCTCCGTGTAGAGCTCCGTCTTGCGGCGCTCTGCATGCGCCCATGGGGGGCCACGGGGCGATGGGGGTGCCACAACCACGCATGAGCACAGCCACGCGCTACACGACTTCTACAACCTGGAGTAATCTGGAACGTTGGTTAAAGAAATAAAATAAGCGTGGGGTGCAGACGACAGATGAGTGGCTGTTTGCAGCGGTCCCCACCGAAACAACACACCAGGCCGGTCTTGTCGAACTTCATCTGTGGAGACAGATGCCAGCATTAGGACACATGCAGAAGCACGAGGCTCCAAAGCCGGCACAGGATAAAAAAAATTCAGTCAATGACCCCGCCACATCCCAGGGGCACCACGGTGACGAGCTGTTATCACCCTCGCCTGGTATACAGGTCGTGGGTTCGATCATGACCCTGACGCTTGTGTAGTTGGAATTTCCATGTTCTCCCCGTGGTTGCGTGGATGTTTCTCCGGGTCCTCCGGTTTTTCCCTCCACATTTTTATAATCAGCATCACGCGTTTAGAGTATTTGGCTGCTATAAGTTTCCACATGATGAGCCGCTTCATTGAGCTATCATTTGTGGCCATGCCGCTTCTGAAAAAAACTATATAGCTCAGTGGGCCTTACCTGGTAAAATAAAAATTGTTCAACAATAGTGATCCCACACTTGGTGTTTACCACTTAGTTGTGGGAAGTCAGCTGTGGCCATCCAGTGGATGGACTGGTTCCTGCCAAAACAATGTGGCATTTCCACAGCTGGCTAAGGGCCACCAACGGAGGAGTGACCCCCATTGCTTATCCGAGCAAGGAGACACCGTGGTTTGAGCCGGTTAATTCGAAAGGCTAGAAGGAGCTGCAGGTAAAATGGGCATTTGTGCTCTGCCCTCTGCTACCCATGACGTAGCCCCGCAGCAGCCCACAGCACCTGTTTTATGCACGGCGGGCACCCATCCAAGCACTATCCAGGACGCTTAGTTTCCTAGATTTGACGAGATGGGGCGGATTCCGGGCAATTTGCTCGTAGGCACTAAAGTATGGGAGATGTAAAAAATAAATAATAAAATCACTCACCACGCTAAACACAGGGATGACACTGGCAAGGGCTGCCTGTGAGGAGTCAGAAGAGAAGTGTCTACCTGTGAAGACACGAGCGAGAGGGGGCATCGCTTACAAACTCACAGCTCAACGCAAGCACGACAACTCTCGACAGCCAGAGCACTCGGAGGCTGAGTGGACCGGAGGTCATGGCGTTTCGCCACTGAGCCACTTGGCATGGACGCGACAGCTTGATTCCAGCTACAGCTGCCGGATAATTTCGTGTCACGCTGTGGATGGAAAGGCTGACCCACAAAAGGAATAGCACAGGTTCAAATCCAGGTCTGAGCCCTGTGTTATCCCAATGCTGAATGACAGTCTTCCCCATTCTGTTTCTACCGTGGGAATTATTTCACCATACTTCACCATGTTGGTTAGTGCAGGTTGGTGAAGGGCGAGGCCTGGGCTGGTTCGAATTTAACTCAAAACGGATGAAAGCTGTGGATGGGAATTAAAAACTTTAAAAGTAGCTAGGCCCAAATTACAAATACATGGGAATGGCAGTTAGTGATGTCAAGGCAGGTACTGAAGGAACAGCGTCAGCTCATGCAGCTGATTTTCGAGTTCATTAACTGGTGAAGCACTAAGCAGGTTGAGTGAAACGACACCATACGTTGTTACATTCAGTCATAACAAGTATTGAGCCATTTGGTGAGAAGCTTGAGTCAGAATTTGATTAATATATTGGCCATGTATAAATACTATCTTTGTAAACGTGACGATCTTGTCCAGTGGTGGAGGATGAATGACAAGAATTTTGGCACGAAACCACCACGTGGACTGAACCAAGAACAAAAATTTACGATTATTGTATTAACTACAACAAATACGGGTTCGAGTACACTCCACCACCGTTGCTCCAAGTGATATTGCAGTACGCATTCCAACATTTGGTGTCCTCATTCACGCACTCACCCATGCCCACCGCGCTGTCGCCCCACAGCGGCGGCGATATTAGCGGCAGCCGTGGTCTCCACCGGCTGCCGGGCCGGGGGGGGGACGGTGGCGGTGGTGCAGGGCGGAGACCCCCCCATGCCCACGCGCAGGGGGGGCACACGGAGCAGGCTGTACGAAGCGGAGTCGTGGAGGGCCCGGCTCGGGGCACCACGGCCCCCCACACGAGAGTGCCGACTACTCTTCTTGACGGGAGCTGGTGACACGGCCACATTGCGGCGGAGTTGCGGCCGGTCGCTCTCAACTCTGGCCGTCAATGTCCGTGCTGCTCCTGCTGCTGACGGTGGTGATGCTGATTATCTCACTTGAAAAAGTTGATGTGGATGCTGTTGACGGCAATGTTCATGAAATGGCTTCAATAAGTTGATTACATTAATGCTGCTGCTGATGGTGAGGACGCTGATTAAGATATTTGTGCTGCTGTTGATGCAGTTTATTAGTTTGTATGTTGAACTTCTTTTGCACCGTACGTAGCCAACCGTGCTAATCGGAGGTGCAGGGGGAAGTACAACAAACTTAACACAAAAAGCAGTCCTAAAGAAATGAGTTTTCAATGTATATGTAATCCAACTGATGCAATCATCATCAGTTTGACTGCACTGTTGATTTCACCACGAAAAGTGCCTGATGTTGATGCTTATTCTTGCCAAACTATTCGATTGTTTGTATAACCACACGGCTCTTACCGGGTTCAATAAAGGTCGTGCAATTTTTATATCTGGGCATCGAAGTTCACACCATTATTGTGTAATGCACCTTTGCAGCTCTTGTTAAACGCATTACATTGTACCCCGTATTCTTGTAACAGGGAAATTGAGTTTTCAGGGTCCATACGGCGTACAGCCGATTCAATACGGGCAAAAAATATATAATTCAAGTTGTTTGTATTTCTCCCTTGTGATGGGGTGAACGTTCAGATTTATAAGGGGCACTGGGTGACCAATGAGGTTTGAATTGGTCTATTATAAGGTCGGCACTGATAAGGGATTGACAGATATATTGTTTCACAAAATGACGTGCAGCAACCGTGCCAGGTCAACGTGTTCTCAGCTGGCCAAATAAAGTTCATCAGTCCGTCTAGCGTCTTCCACCAATTTCCCTTTCGAGTTAAGATGAAGCCCCCCTCCAGCCTCCCGGCGTTATTGCCAACAATATGACGGCGCTCGCCGAATCGAAGGTTGCAGCGGTGCAATCTGTGGAGACCCGACGCATGGCAGCAGCAGTCATGGGTCACGGTGACGATCACTCACGATGTTGGTGGTCATCTGTTCCGCCCCTGCCAGGGAGATGCACCATCACTGCACACATATATCCCCGCGGTCACTGTAGCCGTAGCGCTATAGTTGCAGGAATAATGATTAAAATTATTAGTACGCCACTTCCAGCGGCCACGCACTTGCGATGCTGGTCGGGAACGGTGGGGGACCCCCCCCCCTCCTTGAAAGTTATTCGACTGCGTTAGCTGCTAATGCGTCGAATGCAAGCGCGCACACATTTAATTCCAGCAATGTCCACACACGTGTCTATGTACAGTACATGCAAGCGTCCTACACACTGTAGACACACGTGAGTGGTGAACCAGGCGCGTGCTACGGATAACGGGCGCCGGGTTACGTCTCTCGGGTCAGCGACGACACTCGTCAACTATTAAGCAGTAATCAATACACAAGTTTATATAGTAGAGGTTGTTTGGGTTAGATCGCGTAAATATAAATGTGTCGTTAAACCCGCCACCACCCGACACAGCCAATTAGTACGATTTGTCACGTAAACAGAACATGCCACTTCGTTACTAGTACAGCACAGCGGTGTGTTGGAGAGAAAATCCACAACATTGTTAAATCCACTACGTGTTAAATAAACACACAAGTATACTCTTTCAGCACTCTTTCAAGTATACTGCTCTCAGCACCGCCGACTCGAGCCGCGTTCAAGGCTCGGTTTGGTTCGTTTGTTACGGGGGCGAGTCAGACGGTAACTCTGTTCGGTGTGTATATAGTTTATAACTTCCCTGCTATCGGCTGAGTTAATTAAGCGCCGATTTGGTTGCAGAGTCGACCTCGCATTGACCCACGAGCACCTCGAGCCGCGCGGAACCACGTGCGAGCTAACCGGGAGTCGATTCGCGATTGTTAATTCGACTGGCGTTTTAAATCGATTTCATTCACAAAACGCATGGAGAATCGATAATAGAATATCCGCCTAGGGGAATCGCGCGCTTGGAATCGATTCCTCACGAAGCGGAAGTGGGGGCGCGCGAGGCGACGGCGTGACCAAACAAATGGCGGTGGGTGGGGGTTATTATTTATTCTCGACCAATTTTTTTTTTCGACAAGAGACATTTGTTATTATTTATTCTTGTAAAAATAAGAGAGACAAAAGTATCCCTTCAAAAGTTCTTATTAACTGGTTATTTATAGAAATATTTTACAATTGGGGAAACACAAAAAATCCGCGGGTCAGAGGTCACACGCCCGCGTGCGGAGGGGTGGAGGGGGGGGAGGTGGAGTGGGTGGGGTGGAGGGGAGGTGGAGGGGGATGTGGAGGTGGAGTGGGGGAGGGGGGTGGAGGGGGGGTGGAGGGGGAGGTGACGTCACGCGCCACGTGGAAGCCACGTGTTTTGTTTTGAAGGGGCCGCCCATGCATTCCGTCGTACGCGGAGGGGACCGCGGTGATCCGTTCCCCGGCAGAGCCTCCCACCCCTCCCCGAGCCTCGCGATCCATTCCCCGGCAGAGCCTCCCACGCCGCCACGAGCAGCGAGCCGCCCCATCGCGCGTCCGCGACACGGCCGCTTGGATGCAGTGGAGGCATCTGGCGACCGCGCTCCTGCTGTGTTCTCTTTACGTGGCCTCGATCCTCACGAACAAGGTTCGGAACGCCACCCGGGTCGCGTCGTTCGCTGCTACGGGGATTGAACCCCCCCCCCCCACCCGGGCTATGGCTTGCACGATGGGTTGACCCCCCGCCACGCACGTAGGGTTGTTGTTCCATTGCCGGTTGGGTTATACGTATGTTAATGAACGTACATTATATGCATGCACATTTATCTTATACCTCCTGTCATTTGCGTGCACTAAGATAGCAGTACAGTATCTGTTATTGTATGCGTACAGGTGTATAGGCATGCATTTAAACAATTAAAATAGCAGTACAGTATCTGTTATTGTATGCGTACAGGTGTATAGGCATGCATTTAAACAATGTATTATTTGATGATTCGCTTCCATGCAGCACTTAGTCTGTTATACGAACGGTAAACAAAACATTGGCTGTGTCGGGTGGTGGCGGGTTTAACAACACACATTTACGCGATATAACCCAAACAAGCCCCTATATTATGGATGATATTGGTCGCGAAAGCCTACACGTGTTTACATAGTTTGTTGTTGATGTTATAGGCGCCTGCGCGATCTGTGTGCTACGTGCTCGACGGCAGATGGCAGTGCAGACATAAACTCACACTCCTGGCTGTCTTGCATGCTTCCCCGACCTGCACTGACCAGTGTGGTGGTCATACCGTGTCAACCCATACGGTTCACCCCGTATTCTTGTACAGGGGATATTGAGTTTGCAGGTCCATACGGCATAACAGATGTTTCGATACGGGCAACAAAAATCCGTTTTGTCTATTTGTGTTCCTCCCTTGCGATGCGGACTTTGTAGGATGAACGTTGATATTTATAAGGGGCATGGGGTGACCAATAAGGTCTGAATTGGTCTGTAATGAGGTAGGGCACTAAATTTCGATTTAAAGCTTTCCTGACTGCAGGGATTCATATTATTGGTTCTTTCGGTAAAGTCACGTAGAAGGGAAATAATAAAAATACAACAATAAAATCCTCACAACGTTTCGATTGCAACACAAGCAATCATCATCAGGTGTGAAAACCACAGCAAGAAAATGTTTCTTGCTATTATTTCCCTTCTACGTGACTTTACCAAAAGAACCAACAATACGAGGTAGGCACTGATAAGGGGTTGACAGCTATGGGTGAAGTATGCTCGAGAACCCCCCCCCCCTTGCTGAATCTTGATGTGTGGACTGGCTCCTGACAACATCCGAACTCCCCTACATTGTGTTCAATTCAATTCAGTATGTGGGGGCTTGTGAGCCAACTTTCTTTACTGTAATATGCTGATCACCTTGATTCATGCTGGCTTGGCAGCCTCCACATCGCTGATTTGCAGCTGGGGCACCTCCACAGGGATAAGCATAGTAGTTAGTCTTCGAAGTGGTCAGCACCGAGCGAGTTTTGCAGTGTTTTAAATTTCGACTGCGGCTACGGCCAACCAGATAAGTGATTACCAGTACAGTGTTTTACACTGGCAATTGTACAACAATTGTACACCACATGAACTAACACACGGTGATCGACTGAGCCGGTTTATTCCCGGAAAAGTGTGGTCATCTACGTTGCCAAAGGTACAAATCGCACACATTACGCATTCATAGGCCCAATGCCAATAATGCACGACACAGGCCACTGTGGACTTTGCATGCAATTTCTGTTGCCCCAAAAAGATGATGGGCTCCATAGGTCTCCACAACTGGCATTTTAATGTGGCCGAAAACGTCGTGAGAATATTATTGTGTTATTTTATTTTATCAATTTATTATTTTATTCTCATTCTACGTGACTTTACCGAAAGAACCAAAGAAGATGAATCATTGCAGTCACGAAAGCTTTAGATCTATGATCGTGATGGTCATAATCGTGATGATGATCATGATGATCGTGATGGTCATAATCGTAGGTCAAGTGCTGTAAAAATTGCAACAGCCGGTCTAACGTCGTGCTGTGTTCTGTTTGCAGTATGTCCTCTCTGTCTTGAAGTTCACCTACCCAACTCTCTTCCAAGGGTGAGTGAAGGAAGCTACCAAGTTGGCAGCATTTTGGCAACAGGTCCTAACCTCAGCTTACCCTCAGAAGAGTTGAGGATTATAGACATTGCACGTGCAGAAGGTATTAGCAACCTGTACGTTTGGAATAAAACGTGACAAGACGGCGTTGTAGATAATGATAAAGATGGGATGGCTGGGGTGGCACGTGTGCAGGATGTAGGAGGGTGGCAGGTCACAGAGACGGCATTGGAGTGGAACCCAGAATATCGTGACTAAGGGGAAAACCTAGAGCCAGCTGGTGGTGATGAGACTAGAATGGTCATTGAAGGACTTTAACGACTTTCACGATGGAAAAAATAAGCCAAATGCTGGGATGAGACCAAAAGAGAGTGGTGCTTGAAGGCTGTGATGGGTGTTGCAAGGGCAAGACCTAAAGCCAAATCATGGGATAAAACTGTCACAATGGCCCTTTGAGGATATGTCACCTGCACGTTATCTGCCTCACCTGGTATGGAAAATGTTGTGGGTTTGATCCCGACCCTGACGCCTTTATATTTGTAGTTTGCACATTATCCCCCTGGTCACATGGATTTTTCTACGAGTTCTTCGTTTTTTTTCCTCCACATTTATAAACATCCGTTTAGAGTATTTGGTATAAATTTCCACGTTTGCGGCCAGGTTGCTTCTGAAACATTGTTGTATATCTCACTGGGCCTCACCTGGTAAAATAAAAATCGTTTTTGTTAGCATATCTTGTAAAAGAGATGGTAGAAATGAGACTTAACAAAAACACAGTCATGTTTAGATATTGACTCTATAGCGGATGTGGCATCTGTCAAAAAAGGTTAAGTAGCCATGATGGTGTTGTAGCATTACGCTCATGACCTCTTGACAAAGAGCCACAGTGAATGAGGTGTCCCGTGCCTTTCGTGCAGGTGGCAGACGCTGATTGGGGGGCTGCTGCTGCATGCGGGCTGGCGACTGGGCTACTTGGAGCTGTCTACTCTATCGGGGTGAGCCAAAGTGGCTTCCACCATTCACCAGAGTAGACCGTCGAGTTGGAGGCCTCATCTCCCACCTAAATGTATAAAATACAAATTAAAATCTATTTGACAACTATCCTTGTAGTGGCTTCGTGTCTCTCTGCCCAAACGAGCGTTGGGGTAGCTCTCAGCTCTGTCGAGGGCCTGATGCCAGCAGTGAAATATTCCACTAAATAGCCCTTATATTATCAATCCCACAAGAACTGTGATACTTGGCTGATTCCACCACCAACCAAGATTCGAATTCACGACCTAATAGCAAGTTTAGTACTCTAGCCACTGCTCCACTAGGCCGGAGAATGGTGATGGTGATGTTCCAACAGTAGATAATAATAGTAATTATCACCGTCGGCTGTAATGAGTACGTGTGGTGGTTGTTTGTGAAGGACCGTGGTGGTGTCATGGTTTCCTGGAGCCCTCCTCTACGTGGCTGTGATTTACGCTGGGTCCCGAGCGCTGTCACTGCTGGTGAGAGACGAGACCACACGCATAACAGCAGACAAAACAAAGACAAAGAACCCCCGTATTGCCTTAACATACTGTTGGGGCAAGTGCTGTTAGCGAGCTCCTATGAAGGCCGACACGAGAGAGGGTGGGTGGCCAGCACCACGCCTGGCCGCCTTTGTCTCTCCAGTGGCGAAGTTTACGACACACCGTACCAGGTACTTATTTGAGGCTGAGTCGACCTAGGGGAGGCCCATGACCGGTTCAGATAATCGTCACCGCTGTTGGCCATGAGCAGGAATTGAACTCGGGCCGCTGGGTTCATAGCGCAGCGCGCTAAACGCTACACCACCACTCCCTACCAATATCACGCACAACAGCGGACACAAAACGCTCCACATATGTACTGCAATACGCAAACAACAACAGCCGCCGTTCACCACAAAATCATGGTGATGCCAACACAGCACTTGTGCTAGGCTAGGTGCACTTTAAGGACATGTGTGTAAGGCTATATTGCTGGCAGGTCATGGGACAGACCCAGGTGTTTTGGGTTAACTGACTGAGATAACTGGCAGGTGCTACCACCAGTACTCCCCACCGTGCCAACACAACAGCGGGCACACAAACACACTCCATACGTACGGGGTGTCCAAAAATGAATATACCGAAAAGAACCTTGAATAGTTTTATTGTTATTCGAGATGCTGACATAAATGTCACATGAATACATGACTTTTACGTTTTAGAGTTTTGTAGTGTTGATTAGATATTCAAGAATTATTAATAAACTTCTACATTTTGATTTAAAGCTTTCGTGACTGCAGGGATTCATATGGTTCTTTCGGTAAAGTCACGTAGAAGGGAAAGAACCAAGAATATAAACTTCTACATGCGGTCCATAGTTCACTATAATCAATCAAATTTGGCGTTCAAACTCTGAGGAACATTTTCCAACACAGCTGTAGGGATGGATGATGCCACAGTAGCATCAACAATACGAAGTTTAATTTCCTCAAGGTCCCTTGCTTTGCCAGCATAGACTTTACTTTTTAACAAACCCCAGAGATAAATAGCTAATGGTGTTAAGTCGGGTGAACTGGCGATTTCTCCTGAAGCAGAAAGTAGCAATCGATTTTCACAACAAGCTAAAACGTTTAAGTCTAATGAATATATTCATATCAAATTTACGTCAGTATCTCGAGTAGCAACACAACTATTCAACTTTATTTTTGGTTTATTATTTTTCGGACACCCTGTATAAACTGCAGTGCGCACAAGCGCACACCGTACATGCACTCAAACACTTGGTGTGTAACAATTCGTGGATTAAAATGCATCATCACACATTCAGTGCGAGTTGATGAATCTGTAAGAATTAATTGTTTAATATGTACATAAAATACCTGCAATGCACGTTAAATGCTGACGTTATCATTAAGGCTAATGGCTCCGAAAAGACCGCACAGTTGGCAGATGGAAGAGACGAGACGCAGCGCACGCCGAACCGAAAATGAACAAAGCCACAAACATTATTCGTCAATTTTTTGGGCGGGGGGGAAAATGAACAGCGTTCCCAAGTTTCCCTTTCGCTCTCGGTGTCGGGTATCCAGCGGCACCACCCCGTACTACTCGAGAACGAACGTCTTCGAATCGAGACTTGAGTGACGCGTTTCTTTGCCACCCCCTCCCCCCCCCCCCGCGTGCCGCCGTCTCCCAGCCGGTGCCCACCTTCCTGCTGCTGCAGAACGCGTCGGAGGTGGTGCTGTGCCTGTGCTCCGCCGTGCTGTGCAGAGAGGCGAGTGCCTGCGCAGCCGCTCCCTCTGCGTCGCGTGGAACGCGTCCCTGCGGTCATCGTGCGCGCGCGCCGTGCGTCACCGCGCACTGTGGTCTTGTTATTCAACCTTTGAGTAAATCGGTGAACTCAGAAATGTGTACCACGTATGTTTGTATGTTGAACTTATTTTGCACCGTACGTAGCTAACCGTGCTAATTGGAGGTGCGGGGGAAGGACAACAAACTAAGCACGAAAAAGCAGTTCTAATGAAATTTTTTTGATTCTAGATGATGATTTGAAAGTGCATAGGCTTCAGTGGCTTCCTAATATCGTAAGGAAGACGGCTGCAGAAGCGCAACTGAAAGCGCGCAATGCAGTGACCGTCTTTGGTGGGCTGTGAGGACTGCAGTGGTGAGAAACCCTACCCTAAAGGGCCCAGGGCAAGACTAGTGAGCCAACACATTTTGAGGTTCTGGGTTCAATCCCTGGGCTTGGCTGCCCCTTTTGGGGATTTTATTTCTCATTATGAGTGGCTCAGGTTCACCTGCTGTAAAAACGAAAGGACTAATATCACCATATCTCTTTTCTTCACGGAATGTGTAAAGTGCCCGAAGCAAGGCGCTTTACGTGCCTTATTTTAATACGCGCCGTATTTTGAATTCTCTCATTGTCTTCACAGAAAATCCCTCTAGTTAGACTAACGAGGTGAGTAGACAAGGTTTGATTCGGGTGGCTTTTTGTGTGTTTTGGATGAAACAAAAATTCTTGACCATACATGGACGACTCATTCGATGCGATTTTCATCATAAACTGCTTTCTTCACTGCATAAATAGATCACTATCGGCAAAATGTATCTATCCACTGCTGGATGAAGGCCTCCCCGCGCTGTCACTGTCCATCCAGTCCTGTGATGCCACAATCCGTCTCCTGCTTCAAGTGCATGGGTGTGTCTCCTGTGTGTGTGTCCATGTACACGTGTGTGTGCGCATGTACACGTGTGTGTGTGCATGTACACGTGTGTGTGTGTTCGCGTGCGTGCATTTGTGCGGTAATGCAACGGATAGCGCGCTGCGCTACGAACCCGGAGACCCGAGTTTGATTCCTGTTGATGGCCAACACCAGTGACGAATATCTGAACCTGTCAGGGGCCTCCCCTAAGTCGACTCAGCCTCAAATGAGTACCTAGTGCAGTGTGTAAAATCATCGCCAATGGGGAGACAAAGACGATCGGGTGTGGTGCTGGCCACCCACCCCCTCGTGTACCCTTGCCGGCCTTCATAGGTGCTCGCTAACAGCACTTGCTTCAATAGTCTGTTAAGGCTAGACGGGGGATCTTTGTCTTTGATGTGTGCTGCTCAGGGGACACTGACCCTTTATTGCATTTATATTACATTGGGTAGAACGGTGGTCCAACCCGGCAAGCTGACTGCAGCTTCCAGCCACAGATGACGTCAGTGGTGAGTCACATCTGATCTAGCCCTGGCCCCTTCTAAGTTCACTCAGGCTTAAGTCAGCATCTGATGTCATGTATAAGCATCAACACTGGGAAGAAATAGGCAAGTAGGGCTGGTTCTGCAAGAACCTCCTCATTTACCATGCAGGCCTTCACAGCAGTTGCCAGAACAGTCCATACGCCGCTACAGGGACCTGCGTGTGTGTGTTTGCAGCCTGCTGTTGATAACCCTGTCCTCAGGAGGTCTCCTGTTCTGCGATGTGCAGGTACGTACATCACAACTGCACTCGCACCGCTGCTGCACCCCCACACAGCACTGCAGCGCTCCCACACAGCGCCGCTGCACCTGTGCTCGCAGCGGCACTGCATCCACATGCAGTACTGTGCTCCCAGACAGTGCTGCACTGAGTGCTGCACAATAATACAGTGCTGCACCCGTACTCGCAACCATCAACATTGTCGAGCAGCTTAATGTGACTGACCAAGGGGGCCACCGGCTACGCTGCTTACCTCCTGTCTGTGACCTCGCTGCACGAGCACCTCTGAGATTCGGTGTTCAAAGTGCTCCGCTCACTGGGAAGCCCTGAGGTCGGTCAGAGAAATCCCACAAGCCTGTGGCGAGGGCCATTCGTTGCACGATTATCGGTCATCACTTCCCAAGAAGTGGTGCTCGTTTTTACTCACCCTGGAGGGATGATGATGATGATGGTGGTGGTTATGATGAGCTGTTGACCCTTCCGATTTACAGTTAAGCTCTCACTACCTAGATGGCAAGATGTTTACCTTGCCTGGTATGCCTGCTGTATATTTGGAGTTTGCGGATCGCTCTCCCCGTGGTCCTGCGAATTTCTCTCCAGGTCCTCCGGTTTTTCCCTCCACATTTACAAAAATGCATTTTAGAGTATATTTGGATGCTATAAATTTCCACATGATAAGCCACTTCGTTGAGCTATCATTTGTGGCCAGGTCGCTTCTGAAAAAGAACTATATAACTCAGTGGGCCTTATCTGGCAAAATATAAATGGTGAATAGTTAGCTTTACTGTTACATCATCACCACGAACATCTGGGTCTGTGCCCTGTTATCCTTCTGCCAGCGAGACTTCACCCTCCCCCCCTACCCGTGTCGCCGTGCCATTGCAGTTTGACCCCGGCGGCTACGTGTGGGCATTGCTGCACTTCGTATGCGCCGGTGAGCACCTCCACCCCACCCATGCCTCTTCTTCAAACGCCAGCGTTGCACTTGTAACCCGGTTGAGAGGTCATCCCCGCCAGGCCTGGCTCTCCAACGTTCCAGGACCTCGGCGGTGGCGGCCCCCGAGATCCTGGCTCTGTTTGAATTTGGGTTTTCACCCCCACCCCCGCATTGTTTTTCCGGACAGGAATCTACAAAGCCTTCTCCTATGAGCACAGCAAGAGCCAGTCACTGAGGTATGACGGATGCGGTGGCCTCGTAGCGTGGTCTGCATGAGCACCAGTTCAAGGAATGCAATGAGGCCCACCCATCCAATTTCTCCTCTGCTTCGTAGCCCACGCCCTCGGGAGGGGGGCCCTCTGGCCCAAGGAGCTCCAGTGCAGTTCCACCGCCTGTGCTCTCGGTAGCTACGCCACTGGATGAATGGAATCGCAGCCAAACTTGAGCTGTTGGTGTGAATGTGGCCAACGATTGTACGGGGCATGGACCCGTCCCGGCGGTGCGGTGGTCAGGGCCTGCAGCCTTGAGTCAGTATTATTGCGATTTCAAGTCACAGTAAGAGGGCCAACTCCGCCCATCATTCCTTGAGGTTTTGTAAAAATGAGTACCACGACGTGGGACGTTAACAGTGGTTATCCTTTTTATTTTGACTTAAAACTTTCGTGACTGCAAGAATTCATATTCTTTGGTTCTTTTGGTAAAGTCACGTAGATAGAAAAATAATGATAAAAATAAAGTGAATAAATATAATAAAAATTAAGTAAAAAAAACAAAAAACACTAATGTAGACTGTAGCCTGGTTATTAAGTTTGGTGAGTGTACTGACAGTCTATAATGTAGACTGTAGCCTGGTTCTTAACCTCGGTGAGCGTACTGGCAGTCTATAATGTAATGTACATTATATAATGTATTGATTGGCATTGATGTAATAGGCTGCAATCTGCTAATGAGAATTTATTTAAAATCGGTCTTGAGTTTGTTTAGATAAACACTTGTCATTTCGTTCAATTAAATATTGTTTCATTTTTGAGATTAAGCATTTTAGTAAAAGGAGAGTGTTATTTTCTTGGTTCTTTCTGTAAAGTCACGTTGAAGGGAAACAATAAAATAATAAAAATATAAAACAATAAAATTCTCACGACGTTTCGACTGCAACACAAGCAATCATCAATAGGTGTGAAAACCACAGCAAGAAAATGTTCTTGCTGTGGTGTGAGAATTTTGTTGTTTTATATTTTTATTATTTTATTGTTTCCCTTCTACGTGACTTTACCGAAAGAACCAAGAATATGAATCCCTGCAGTCACGAAAGCTTTAAATCAAAAGGAGAGTGTTGTTAAAAGTGTGCGCACGTGAATACGCGCGCGTCCACGTATGTTTGTGTGGGGAGTGTTAGTGCAGCGGTCGTGCAGCGGTTAGCACGTTGTGTTACGAACCCGGCGACCCGAGATGGATTTTTTCACTCGCGGCCAACACCAGTGACGATTATCTAAACTGGTTACGGGCCTCCCCCCAAGGTCTACTCAAACTCAAATTAGTACCTGGTGTGGTGTGTAAACATTACTACTGGGGAGACAAAGGCGGAAAGGGCGTGGTGTTGACCAACCACTCCCTCGTGTGCCATGGCCAGCTTTCAGAGGTGCTCGTGAACAGCGCTTGCCTCCGCAGTCTGTTACTCGCTATACGGGGGGGATCTTTGTGTATGTATGTGTATGCGTGTGCGTGTATACACATGTGTGTGTGTGATTGCAGTGAGCTGGATCAGCAGTATTTAAACTACATTGTCAGGTACGATGTCCACTTGGCTAATTTGCAATGCAAGTATCTTAAAGACACCAACTACCACTATATAGACACGTGATTTATCGATTAACCAATTAACAATTATTACCACTCTTGTTGCATGCATCAAATGACATGTGTAAGAATCAGTGGTTTTTTATTTGTGTGCTGTAATGGGCTCACGTGGCCGCTTAACTTCGCACGAAAGATGCGGTAAATTGTGACCCTGAATGGTGACAATTTATTGCATCGTGGGCGGGGATTAGCAGGGAGCAGATCTCTCGGTCCCGCTCGTATCTACACCAATGCAAGAACCACCGTTCGCCACCAAGTGTCGGTGACATCACCACGGCACCCCCGTGCCAGGCGAGGTGTACTTTGAGCCCCCGCGTGAAGTGTGGAAGGCCCCCGCCGAGTTCACAAGACAAAGCCCATGTGTCAGGTGTTGACCGACTGCACGACTGGCAATTTTCACACGTGTGCACAGTCTGCCACGGGTGACGCAATCAGGGTACGGCTTGTCGTTGGTGTACCGTACATGGAAATAAACACGGTGAGTTCTCTCTCGTCGGTGATTTTGAGAATATCGCCTCGCAAGTGTATGGCGGTCGCTTGATTAGACGAATGGAGGTCAACTGCGATTGCTTTCATTGACATCCCTGAATGGATTCACGTTCAAGCAGTTGACCTTATTTTGAGCGAGTGGCGGTGGCCGTGATGGACGTGACACTAACGAGCGCTCTTCCCTTTGTGGTTCTGTTAGCGTTGTGGCTCTGCTGCCGTCATCGCATCCGCTTGGTGAGTGTGAGGAGCGCAGTGTAACCGGTGCCCCTGTCACACGCGTGTGTTGCGCAAACACTTGACACGTGATGCACACGATGGGTGACCCACACCTTACCTACAAATCGACGCGCGCATCCCATGGCTCGCACGTGACTCCCGTGGCACGTGACAAATCAGTGACGCACCACAGACGTGCGACAAACGCGTCACGCGTGTCCCTCTGCTCCAGGTGACCTGCTCGGAGCGGCCGAGTTTCCATTCCTCTACTTCTACCGCTTCCACACGGGATGCCTGGCCAGGTAACGCTCGTCTGCTCGCTACGACGTCTCCGCCCATAGCCACCATGCCAGCGGTTGTGCTGTAGTCCTGCAGCATTCAACACACACTTGAAGGTGATGCTGTGCTGGCCGTGGTGCGCGAAGCACCAATAATGAGCCAACTCACATTCGTTGCCTGTTGTATACATATTTTATTTTATATTATTTCTCGAGCAATGTTAGGTGGTGGCAGATGGGGGAGGCCCTCATCCAGCAGTGAATTGGCCAAGGCAGATGGTGAGAGAAAGCCAAGGAGCCAGCAAAGTCGTGTGAGGGGGAGACGGGGGAAGAGGAGCGCTGGAATGGAGGCACCTGCCCGTCGCTCCGCACTTCTGGTTGGAGGTCAAAGATTAACGGCGGATTCTAAAGCCGCTTTGATGATTACGGGGGAGATGATCACCTGTTCACAGCGCCGAGCCAGTGAACATTCTACATTCCTATGGCAGGGAGCAGTGCCTCTATGTAAATCACAGTTGGCTTCCCACTTTGGTTTTATTCCGTCCGTCGACCCTGCAGGAGTGAAAGGTCGCACCGACCCTCAACCGGAATTTATAGTGGAGCTGCCCAATCGCAAACCGCGTGCTCTGCTGACGGCACCACCACCATCACCAAAACTTAACCATCACTAATAATATTACTACTAGAGACAAATACAAAAAGATCCCCTATATAGCCTTAACATATTGTTAGGGCAAGTGCTTTTAGTGAGCAATTATGAAATCTAGCACGGCACTTGAGGGAGTGGTGGCAGATTGAGGAGGCCCTCATCCAGCAGTGAATTGGCCAAGGCGGATGGTGAGAGAGAGAGAGAGAGCAGTGTTATTAGCGAGGGTGTTATCAGTCCGCCAGTACATTAACAGAAGAGTGGTCATTCCGATGAAGATCGATTGTTATCCTCCGGGCACTGACGCGTGCGTGCAGCAGTTAACTACTGCTGATTCTTGTCCTGTACCTGTGTTTCACTGCTGTGGATTGCACCAATTCCTAGCGGTAGATTCTGCATACCTGTATTAGTATATGTGGGCTTGTAGCACTATAGTAGAGACTGGCCCCTGCCCTAGTAATGTTTAATTTCCTACATTTGACCTATGTTTTAAGTTAATGTGGAATATCTGCTACTGGCTGCGTGCTGCCAATGAAAAGTAGTACTGTCCCAAGCTCGTTGGGGCAAGAGAGGCACTCGGGCTTTGAACCCTGACCATGACCCTGACTTCGTCACCCCCAGTGGGATCCTAGGCTTCCTGTTTGTGGTGACGGGCGACCGCTTGAAGGCATGCATCTCTTCCGCCGACTTCTCCATGTGGCTGCTGGCGGGGAAGGTACGCTCGTCGCGAGATGCCGAGGAGCGGCGCCGCCTCACGGCGGGCACGGCGCGTGACCCTTAACCGGCCGTGCGCGTGGATCCTACGGGTGTCAGCTCTGGGTCCGGATGTTGAGGGTCAACGTGTGCCTTCGTTTCCACTGGGCACGAGCTCTCGTGCGTTGTTCCCCGTGCTGAAGCCGTCTCCCTCTTGCGATTCGGTTTCGCCATGAAACTTGGCGGGGGAGCGGGGTTCCCTGACAGGCTCGCGCGGCTCATCATCACAATCATCATTTTCCCCGTGTCTGACAATCCAGCATTGCCCCCTTGTCGGCATCCCATTATTTATGACTCTACTTTGTCCGTCCGCCGATACCCAGCATGCATGTGGGCCCCGTTACCCAGAATGCTTTGCGTATCGCTGTTTCCTACAATGCATGGCACTTGGTAACCCCCCAGCATCCTTGGCGTGCCTCATTACCCAGAGTGAATGCATGGTACGGCCCTTTGAAATACGATACTGTCATTTCCTGTGAATGCACACCCAGTATTGTAAGATCTTGTAAGCGAAGCAAATTTGAGCCTGGATAGTGCTTGGATGGGTGACAATAGACGCTTGGCTGCCAGTCGACCGCGGAGTGGTGGTCAGCAGAGGGCAGTGCAGAAATATCCAATGCAATTCAATGCTGCCACGTTAGTGCGCCCCACCTCGAACAACCTGCACTGTTCAGCGTGGTGAAGTATGGTCAATAGACCATGGCATGAGGAGGCCGGCACCCAGCAGTGGATTGACAGAATTGGCTGCACATGTGCGGGTGCAGGAGATATCTGCTGCGCCAGTCCATCGAAGGGAATCTGCTCTGTGACCATCTTCCCCCCCCGCACTGTGTTCCAGATGTACGCGTGTGCCCTATCCACCGTCCTGTTTGAAACCACGCTGACTACGTGGATGGGAATCTGGTAAACGCAAAACCTTCATTATCTATGCATCAGAGCCTCAACATTGGCATTTGAACAAATTGCCACATGCAAGAATAGAATAATATGTAAACAAGTGGGTGGGAGCGTAGCAGCCATGATCCTGATTTAAAGTTTGCTTGAAAATTAGTGCAAAAGAGGGCTCAATGGGTGACGATAGAGCTTGCAGTCACCAGGCGCCTCGTTCGTGGAATGTCTTGACCCAGTCCGTTAGGGACGCTTCATCAGTCGAGGTTTTTAGGGCTTGCGTATCCGTCTGTGTAGGGTTATTTTCCCTCTTAGTTTAAATGTTAAAGGGTTTTATTTTTGTATTACTTGGATTGTGTTGTAAAGTGCCGTGTGGCCTTGCGTGAATAGCACTAGATAAAAAGTTTGACGTACTTACACATAAAAGAGGTTATACCCCAGCTATGTCACTGGAGGGCGCGCTATGGCCGTGTGCTTGAACATCACAACATCGCGATAAAGCAAACTTCTCATCAACGACACCTCCAACTGGTTGGTGTTGAGGGTGACTTTCAAATTACTTTGCTGGGCCACGCACTGATGTACGCCGAAGTCACTTCTGTTGCTGCACGAGGCCCTTGAAGTGGTGTAAAGGGCCGATTGACACTACTTTTTTTTTAAAACACAGCAATTACCGGCAGGTCGAAAATATCCCCCCTCTCGAGATGCTTGCAGTGATGGGTGAATGTTGTCAGCTGGCCCTGTCATTAGGTGAGCGCTCACCTGGTGTGGGCACAGGCCCTGTGAAATTAAATCCTGGGCCCCCCCAGGTCCCCACGGCTGCCACACAGCTATGCAGTCAGGCGTAGGCTGGGCCTCATCTCAACGTTAACCCACAGCCATCGCGAGGATCTAGAGGCCCACTGGGAATCTCAGGCATTCTTCCTCACAAAGTCGTGTCCGGCCCACGTGCCGTAGATTTCCCAGCTCTGCCCTAAAGTCACCACGTGTTCTTCCCCCCAGCCTCCTGCTCGGCCTGGTCAGCGAGGTTTTGCTCACGCTGGGCGACAAGTGGCAGGAGGGCGGCAGCGACTGCCTTGGGGTCAGCTCCTCCCTCCAGCAGAAGGCGTCGCTCGCCACCAGCGGCATCGGAAGCCAAGGAACCAGCAAAGTCGTGTGAGGGGGAGACGGGGGAAGAGGAGCGCTTGGCTGGAATGGAGGCACCTGCCCGTCACTCCGCACTCCTGGTTAGAGGTCCCAGATTAAGGGCCGATTCTAAAGCCGCTCTGATGATGGCAGGGGAGATGACCACCTGTTTACAGTGCCGAGCCAGTGAACATTCTACATTCCTATGGCAGGGAGCAGTGCCTCTATGTAAACCACAGTTGGCTTCCCACTTTGGTTTTATTCCGTCCGTCGACCCTGCAGGAGTGAAAGGTCGCACCGACCCTCAACCGGAATTTATACTGGAGCTGCCCAATCGCAAACCGCGTGCTCTGCTGACGGCACCACCACCATCACCACAACGTAACCACGACTAATAATATTACTACTAGAGACAAATACAAAAAGACAAAGATCCCCTGTATAGCCTTAACATTGTTAGGGTAAGTGCTGTTAGTGAGCACCTATGAAAGCTAGCACGGCACTTGAGGGAGTGGTGCGGCTAGTACCACGCCCGGCCGCCTTGTCTCCCCAGTGGCAGTGTTTACACATCACACCAGGTACTCATTTGAGGCATGTCGACATAGGAGGCCCAGGGCCGGTTTCAGATAATCGTCACTGGTGCACTGGTGTTAGCCATGAGCGGGAATCTAACTCGGGTCGCCTGCGTCTGCATAATGAAGCGTGTACTGGCGAAGCGAGTGGTGAAATATCGGCGTGGTTTGTACGCCTTGGTGCAATGAGCCACACAGGTTCGCAGCTTGGCACCGGGCCGTGGAGTTCCGCAGGCAGGGTCCGGCACGTGCTGGATGTACAAATATTTTTTTTCTACAGCATATACTGTATGCATATAGCGTTTTAACTTTTTTTTATTCTCTATGTAGCCATGGTCTGTTGGTATCTCTGCAAGTATATTTTGGAAAAGTCATGAAAATAACAATTTGATAAAACAGTATTTTTGATGATGGGGGGCGGGGGGGGGGAGAATAAGATGCAGAACGGCGGTGTGAGGTCGTTGTAATGCGGGGTATCAATCGTGGTTTGGGATTTAACGCGATCTTGGCATGCGGCATTTTCCACTAATCCTATTACTTCATTACTTCTTGACTTAAAACTTTTGTGACTGCAGGAATACATATTCTATGGATCTTTCGGTAAAGCCACGTAGATAGAAAAATAATAAAAAATATATCATGACGTTTCGATCGCAACACAGGCATTCGTCTTCAGGTGAGAGATAGAGAAAGCTGCTGGGACAAGGTCTTATATAGGGCACCCTCCGATCTTACATTTACATGCAAATATCATCTCTAGCCCCGCCCACTTACACTTGGGCTACACACAGTACAATGGCCACCTCCACAGCTTTGGTGGTGCCCTACAGGCTAATCTCTCACAATACAAAGGCGACTGCCCCAGCCTCTGTGGTTGGACCATCTCTAGCTCCACCCACCTAACTTGATGCACCCATCTCAGGCCTATATAAGACCTTGTCTCAGCAGCTTTCTCTCTCACCTGAAGACGAATGCTTGTGTTGCGATCGAAACGTCGTGATGTTTTTACGTGGCTTCACCGAAAGACCCATAGAATATACTTCATTACTACCTAATGAATTTCCCTCTTTGGGGATAATTTCACCTCGGACAACTGCGCTGTGGCTCCTACGCCTGGCGGCCGTGTCGCGTCGTCTGTGTGCATTGGCTGTTGCTGTCCTCGTTAACAAAGCTGCCAACGTCACCATCTCCTTTGTCCTTGTGCTTGGAATACTTGTTCATTTTTCTTTGACAGTAAAATCATTAAAGTAATTAACGTGTACATTATAAGTGATGGTAAGTGATTTTCCCATGAAAGTATAAATATGGTATTGTACGGTTACCTGCCTTTCGTAAATGGATGACATGAACACACTTTACTTGTACTGTGACACTTATCTTGAGCTGTGTGGCCATGTTTGTACGCTGGATAACGGTGGAATAACTCTCACTGGCAATAAAACTGTTCTTGTGTACGTGCACGAGTCGACGTGTTTGTGACTTGGTTCCATTCCTGGACATCGCGCACAACACCAATGGAATGTTGCGTTTAAAAGGTAGCTGTCTCTCTGGTTCACATGCTCAGCTATTCACTCGCTAGCTCGTGCACATCGAATCCCTGGAGTGTACCCACTCGCTCAGTCTCACACACACCTGGGCACTTATCAACTCGCGCGCATGCACACACGCTTCCAAAATGTGACCATTGCTTGAAACATTGACCAACTATTCAATGTGTCTCTAATCGAGTGAGCATTGGTGCTCATCTCTCTGAGTGAAAGCGAGCTAATGGTGGAAATTACACATACGGGTTGTCGAGTATAGTCCTTTAATTTGATTCAAACTTTTCTAATTGGTACCACCGATGGGAACAAGGCCTAACAATAATATTCTTAAAACATCCGATTCTCTAGATTACAAATATGCATGATGATAGCAAGGTCACCATGGGAGTGTTTTGTGAGAAGTAATTTAACGAAGGTAACATTTGACAGAAAATATCACTTCGGAAACAAATGTGATATAAATCATATACGGAAGATGAAAACATTCGGTGTGTGAGTATATGAACGAGTGTGTACACCACACTTTATGCCCGTGGTGGACACTGGTAACACAAAAGCAGGCAACCGCTATTTTAGTGCACACAAACGACAAGAGGTACAAGAAAAAAGAGCTTGCGTAATGTTCGTTGATTACCATATACATAACCCAACCGGTAATGGATACCCATTGTCATCCATATGCATCCATTAACCCCCCCCCCCTCTTTGCACAAGGGGTCAAGTGACATCACATCTACTCTCTCAGGAACGAAACAAGTCTGGCAGCCGCCTGATGATGCCGGTTGTAATTACTGGCGAAAAGTCGTACTCAGATTTTAAATGTGGATTTGCTCTCCAACACACCGGTGTGCTGTACTAGTCACGAATTGGCATGTTCTGTTTACGTGACAAACCTTACTAATTGGTGGTGGCGGGTTTAACGACATGTTTACGCGATCTAACCCAAAAAAAACTTTTATGGCCTGGTAGCATTGCCGCCCAAGGCGGTACCGACCTGACCCGCTTGGCTCCTGGGCTACTCTCGTGTTTCAGACGTTGCAGTGCCTGCAAAATCACTGTCCACGTGGTCCCATGGTCGGAGCCGTTCGCTATATTTTACGTAGTACTGCTTGACTTGCAGGCCACTTGTGAGCCATTACTAAAATTGAAAGTAATTGTCCAAAGTATGACCCCATCGGTACACACCAAGTCTCTGTAATCTGATCCCACATTGGAAATGCAGGACGGCAACAACTAATGCGGCATTGTGGTCCCTTTCTTTGGTAATTAAATACGCATTGTCTATGAAACTGATTTGCCTGCACCAGAGCCAGCCTCCTCTATGGCTTTGTTATTAAGGAGGCTTTCTTTTTCATATATTGTCAAAGCACCTTTGTTTGCATGTTTTACCACAAGCACATGTGCTAATTGCAGCCGTAAAGCCTTGCCATATGTGTCTATTTGGTGTGCAGCCGGTCCGCCCTGTGCCCCTTTCTCCCGTGATCGTACCCAGGGGACAAGCCGGCTAAACAGACAACAATGATGTAGCGACTGTACTTGTCACTGCATAGTGCCGGGACTTGCGAAGTCACGGCCGATGATGTTGTCATTGCGGGCAGCCCGGGTTGCGGGCTGCAGTACCAACACTAGCGGTGGTTGGGTGAGCGCTGGTTAGAAAGCAGTGTGGGGTGCCGGCTCCCAGTGAGGGAGCGAGAGCGAGTGTCAGCCAGCCAGGCTTACTCTGGGACATGATACTCTGGCTGACCTGTTGTCACGTGACCGGACGATACTGAAGGGGGACCACCGGTGAACGGGGGCCGAGGGGCGGTCACGTGGTCCCGGAAAGCTCTCGGGAACATTCGAGAAGGGGCCCGAAGAGCCTGGAAGGTGGCGGGGCTAAGGGCGGAGCCAGCCCCAGCCCGGGAGCATATAACAGGAGCTCCGTAAGGATCTCAGGATTCTCCAAGTGTTTGTGTTCGAAGATCCACGTCGGGGAGAAGAAGCCTCTAGCCACGCGGTCCGGGACCCAGCTTGAGGTCCGGACTGGGATAGCGAACCGTGTCTAGTTCTGCTGTATCATGGCTAGATGGGCATTCGAGACCCGAGCGTAGGTTATGTTATGTTGGTGCTGTTGTGTTAAATAAATAGTGTTGCTCCCAAGTTAACGTCTGCGACTCAGTGGGACTCACTACAATAATACAATTAGGAGACAATGATTAGTAGACACTCTGCGTTGTGTTCTGTCCTCCCGACAATTGGGCAACCCCACAACAGATGGGCCACCAGAGGTTTGTGAAACGGCAACGCTTTGTTTCAAAGTGTTATTCCGAAGAGCAATACGCATCTGCAATCATGATCAGACATGCCATTATCACCCTCCATGTCACACAATACCTCAGGCTCAGTCTCTCAGCACAGACTCCACCCCAAATCGTAATTATGATGCCACCCACATTTCACATGTAAGAACATTTAACAAGAAACATTCTAAAATTACACATTTAACATCAAACATTTTCCCAAAACATCCTCAGTGCCTCCTTAATTTCCTACAGTCACTGGCAGTCCGAAGCTTATGAACATAATTAGATCCTGAGACCCGTTTGAAAGTTGAATGGTTCGTCAGTCGGAATACAATAATTTTCTGTATTTAAATGCTCATACGGTCAGCGTTATAAATGTGTTTCGGTTCAACATTGTTAAACTCATAATTAATAAGAAATAGTGTATGTTTGCGTGTAACACTGTAAAAAATATTGTATAGTAAATATAACATTAAAAAATAACATAAATAGGAAAAAACTTTTATTTTCACTTTCCTTAAGTCCTGATGTGGGCCTGTTTGTCATAAAAGGGGCAATGAAATACCACAATGAGACACACACACACACTCGGGAGCACGCGCGTACGCATACACAAAGACACACACCTACCCCGACAAGTGCGTTTTAAGTCAATGTACTTTTTTTTCATGGAAGCTGGTTCGTATATAGGGGTATTCGTAAGTCGGGCGTCCGTAAACCGGGTGTTCGTAAGTCGAAGAATATGTGTATCCGCGAATGTAATATATCATTAAAATATATTATTGGTGCCACGGGGCCGACAAAATCTTATTCTATTTCCTGCGCAAAAAAACGGCAAACAATACAGGTGACTCCCAACTTACGACGGCTCGACTTGCGACCCCCCGCTTTTAAGACCTTTCTTATCGTCATTAAGACTGTGGGGGCCGACGTCGGCCCCACTGCCCTCGCCGGGCAGGTGGGGCGCAACGTTTGCCCCCTCCACTCCCTCCTCCACTTCCTCCTCCACCGCGTCGATCGGCCCCTGCCGGGCCCCCTCTGAGGGACATAGCTAAATCGCTGGCTCACTGCCGCACGGGGTTATTCCACACACGCACACACACTACCGCTCATGCTATGGCGGCGGCGAGCACGCGCGCGCCCCTGCCGGCGATCAGACTCTAAGATGCGCCCGCACTAAGCCTGACGCTAAACGGCTGCGCGAATGCATGCGAACGTCTGTGGGCGGTCATATGCTAATCTGCTTCCATGCAAAGACCCGCGTGAAACGGCTGCACGAACACGCACGCGTCGGTGAGCGGTTGTATCCCACACCACGTCCACACAAAGGCAGGCGTAAAACGGCTGCACAAATATGCGTGCCGGCGGGTGTTTATCCGCTACCCCGCACCCTCGCTAAGACGCGCTCTAAAGCGGCTGCACGAGCATGCGTGCGTCGGTGGGCGGTTATATCCCACACCGCGTTCACACAATAACTAATGCTACAGCAGCGGCGTGAACACGCGCACACCTGCTGGTGATCCCTGACATGCAATACCCTGGGGTCTACAAACTAAGCTGTGTCTGTGGCAGTAGTTACATTGGGGATACTAAGCGACATGTCTCGGACCGTGTTCGTGAACATAAGGCAGATCTGAAACACGGTAGGACCAATACCTCGGCCATAGCTGATCATTGTTTTAATGCGGTGGGCTCACACGAAATCGATTTCTCAAAGACGACGGTACTTTGCAAACCCACTGGCTATCAACAAAGATTCGTTCATGAAGCCATCCACATATACAGACACAGACACAACTTCAATTGAGAAGATGGGTATACTCTAAGCAATCATTGGAAGGACGTTATCAACCAGTTTAAGTCATAACTGGCTGTGATGTTTCCATCCTACCACCTTCTGATGTTGTTATTATTGGCTCTCTGATTTTACATTAACAGGTTCAATTTCCCACATTAACACAGCCACCTCGCTCGCGGAGCTCGACGTTGCTGCTCTGCGATCTTCCATTAACATGCGAATCTCTCACATTAACATAGCCACCTCCGCGCCCTCGTAGAGGCCGCTCTCCGATCTTACATTAACATGCGAATCTCTCACATTAACACAGCCACCTCCGCGCCCTCGTAGAGGCCGCTCTCCGATCTCCCATTAACATGCGAATCTCTCACATTAACACAGCCACCTCCGCGCCCTCGTAGAGGCCGCTCTCCGATCTTACATTAACATGCGAATCTCTCACATTAACACAGCCACCTCCGCGCCCTCGTAGAGGCCGCTCTCCGATCTCCCATTAACATGCGAATCTCTCACATTAACACAGCCACCTCCGCGCCCTCGTAGAGGCCGCTCTCCAATCTTACATTAACATGCGAATCTCTCACATTAACACAGCCACCTCCGCGCCCTCGTAGAGGCCGCTCTCCGATCTTACATTAACATGCGATTCTCTCACATTAACACAGCCACCTCCGCGCCCTCGTAGAGGCCGCTCTCCGATCTCCCATTAACATGCGACTCTCTCACATTAACACAGCTACCTCCGCGCCCTCGTAGAGGCCGCTCTCCGATCTTACATTAACATGCGAATCTCTCACATTAACACAGCCACCTCCGCGCCCTCGTAGAGGCCGCTCTCCAATCTCCCATTAACATGCGAATCTCTCACATTAACATAGCACCCTCCATGCCCTCGTAGAGGCCGCTCTCCGATCTTACATTAACATGCTAATCTCTCACATTAACACAGCCACCTCCGCGCCCTCGTAGAGGCCGCTCTCCGATCTTATATTAACGTGATAATTTCTCACATTAACATCACTAGCCCCGCTCACTTCGTTTATGACCCTTTGGCTATACCCATTTTAAACCTTAAAACAGTCTGCCTCAGCAGCTATACCCCTATTTTTTCCTCCTGATGACGGTCGCTTGTGTTGTGATCGAAACGTCGTAGTATTTTGTGATTTTTTTGTTATTTTCTTTGAACCTATCTACGTGACTTTATCAAAAATTCATGCAGTCACGAAAGTTTTAAGTCAAGATTTGCTTTGGCCTCTTTAAACCACACGCCACCTACCGAAGGCGGGAAACCCCTTTGCAAGCCACGCCTAACCCCGACGTGGCAGATGATGATGATGCCGAATGCATCACCAAAGCTCCATCCATCACCTCTCGTCCAGGGGCACATGTGGGAACAGAAGTCAGACTTTTGTTTTAGTTTTTCCCCCAAAAGCGTTCGAGTGATTTTATCAGTCGAGCAAATGGGATCGATAATCGCTATAGAGTAATCAATTAATCAGAGAGCCCAGCTGAATCTGAGAAGAGTATGACAGCATGGTGCTTGTAACATGTTGCAACTCCATGATAAACAGCACTCTGGGGGCGTGTGTGTGGGAGTGTGGGAGTGCGTGTGTGTGGGAGTGTGTGTGTGTGTGGGAGTGTGGGTAGCTTGGTAATTTCACGCATCATTAGTCGTCGAGTGCTCTCTGCACCAGCGATCACGGACGCTGTCTGCATGATAACGCGGTAGGCAGGCCACGGGGCACACATTCGCTCCGACACTGTCTTTCACTCAAAGCTGGAAATACACTAACGTACACGTAACAACATTGGTGGACTTCAGCTAAACAATATTTTTTCTTTCAGCATGGAAGCCCCACTGAACTATACATATCTTTTAGAAGCGACCTGGCCACAATTGATAGATCAAGGAAGTGGCTTTTCACGTGGAAATGTATGGCAAACCAAATTCTCTCAATACTCTAGCAACCAAATACCCGCAGGGACTGATCCTGCCGTTGAATGTTCACTGGCGGCTCAGGGTTGCCGATGGACGATGAGCATTGCCCCATCGCTTGTGTGAGCAGGGACACTCTGAATTGTGACGTCTCAGAAATTCTGAAAAGAGCTCCAGAGTAGCGCAAGATACTCGGGAATAAGGAAGCGAAGCGTTGCAGAAGCCTCGAATCAACTTGACATGAAGGCATTGCAAAAGTGATGACTAAGAGAAAGTCGTGCTGCCATACTGCACTGTTTGTAGGATTGGAAGTTGGTTGACTTCACGCATTCTCATACCATGCATTCTTATAACACCCAGGACCATTTCAGATCATAGTCGCTGGTGTTGGTGGCTGTTGAACGGAAATCAGAGTCGGTTCGCTGGGTTCTTAGCGCAGTGCGCCAACCACTGCGCCACTGCTCCACTGGGGAACAGGCAGACACCCATGCGCACAATCACGCACACTTCATTTTCAGACGAATGGATTCAAGGAAGCAATGCTAGAACAAAAATATTTACTCGAGACAACGGTGATCCAGCATGTCTCATCATTAGACAACTTCATGCATGGGCACGGGAGGTGCCGGTGAGATTTTAGAGATTGCATAGAGTGAGACGAGACGACGATACAGCGGGAGCTTTCGGGCACCGTTTGCAAGCGCTGGGGTCAAACTCGCATGAATGAGGTAGGAATGGATTCATAACGGTTCCACAATTCACACCGACCTACGACCAGATCACCGGTTCGCTACGGACGGTGCGAAATAAGTTCAACGTACATCTCCGATGCTCAGCAGGGTCGAGCGTGGACAGTGCCCGGCGGATAGGCGCCACCATGCGGAACAGGTGTTATAGGCTGCGGGGTTGCATTGTGGACAGCAGAACCGCGTGCAGCGACATAGATTGTTGTACGGTAGTTTTATGCTCTCCACCATTAACCCGCATAGACCAGCGTATTGGTGTATGGTCAGATAACCGCCACGACCCGCACGGCGTAGGGAGGCCCTCATCCAGCGGTGGATTGGCAAAAAGGGCCGCTTGTTTTTTTATTGGCAGCCCTGCGCTAGTAGTGGAAATTACACATTCTTAAGATGAAGAGTCTCTCCATAAGTAAACCACTCCTGACTTCTCACAGTGTGTTACTTATTTTATTCATCCGAGGAGGGTGGGGGAGGGGGGTGATGGAATGGGTCGACCCCCCGGCTGGGGTTTGAACTCGCAAGCTGATTGTGAGCACAGAGCCTCCTGCGCGGATGACTTCTCACAGAGTCGTTCCCATGGAGACAATGGGAGCACTGCGAACAAATACATATGGCTTGAAGCTAGCTCCTAAGATAGCTGTGGAATTTCCACATTCTTACGGCAGGGTCCAGCATCTAAGATCCTTAAACAAAACATTAAGTACTACTTGTCACACAATGGGGAAGCAACTCCATGAGGTACCCCTTTTATCAGCCCCACGGAGATGATGTGATGATGATGCTGATGCCGACTATGATAACGATTACGATGGTAATTTTCATGATGATGGTGAAGATTATGACAATGGTAATGATGATTGGATGACTAACCTTGGTCGAAATATGAGCTAATATTCTCGGCAGAGGCGGCCATTATAAAGCAGTATAGCAGGTAGATTGCTAACTTAATCTTTATCGAAAGAACCAAAGAATACGAAGAATATCAATCTTTATAAATTTATAGCATCATCTTCTTGTATGCATAGGTTTTCAACACATACACACTCTGCTATGCTCTCGTATGAAAAAAGCAAATACATCTAATTAAGCATTTGCCAAACAGCTCAATGGCAAATCCTTGACGAAAGCATTGAGAGACGCATCACTCTCCGATGTGTTTTTCTTGTGGGGAATTCCGTCTAACATTTTGCTCTGCGTGCGTGGGATCTTTTTCAGACGTGGTTTCCGCACAACACGTGGTACACCCCGGAGATGCATCGGGAAACTGTTGCGGCAGCACAGCCACAAAAACCCACGAATCGGTTATCTCGACACCTCTCTCGGTTACATAACGGATCGATGTTGTTTGAATATTCGTCAAAGACATTGCACCGTTGGCTGTAAGTGACACGCAGGCAGACAGGGCATGCACACGCACATTTATTACAGTCCAACGTGTGGGGAACGTGCGCCAGGGGAAGGACACACGCGGGAACGCACCGTAGTTTGTAAACACTTAACGCAAAAAAAGGTTAAAAGTATAAAAGCCCCAGGTGCCCCACGTTTCATTTCCATGCGTGGTCCTGAGCCAATTTTGGGAAATTCACATTTACATTGTGAGAGCCATCCTCTCCACGGGATATCCAGCGGTCAGCCACTCACATGGACCTCAAGGTTGTTCATTGCAGCGTTATCCCAGTTGACACGGCAACACAACTGACACAAATAAGGGTGTTCACAGCAGCTGAGTGCTGTGGCAGGTTGGCCACCATGGATGGGTCGTGTGACTACGGCGTAAGGGTTGGGATGAAATGGAGAACGATTTGGCGGCCTGTCAACCGTTGCCATGCTATTGCCACGGTGGTAGTGGTTGGTGCCATTGCAGCGTGAGTGCGGTGGCAGAGCCGGTGCGGCAGCACGGTGTGCTCGGTACAGAAGCTCTGGCCGTGTCAGTGGCGTTGCTTGTGCCCATGGCAGCGCTCGTGCTGCGGCGGTCGGTGTTCGTGTCGTCGGCCAGCGTTGGTGGTGGTGGTGTGGGTTGCCGTGGCGACTTATCGGTGCTCTGCCTATGAGCGCGGCTCCTTGCAGTCGGGGCAAGTTGCCATGGTCGCGTTGTAGGGCTCCAGCTGCAGGGTCACCTCGTGGAAGCCGTGCAGCTCGCGCAGGCGGCGCGTCGCCTCCTGCAGCAGCGGCTGCATGGCCGGCTCCCCCGGGCCTGCACGCAAAACGCACCAAGACAAAGGTGGCCACGCCACCACTGGGTACAGCCTTTGACAGACCGCTGCAGGAAGTGCGGGTAGCGCGTACGAAGGGCCGGCATGGCACGGCACACGAGGGGGGTGGGTGGCCAAAAAACCACGCCCGGCCGCCTTTGTCTCCCCAGTGCTGATGTTTACACACAACAGCGGGCACTGATTTAAGGTTCAGTCGACCTCGGGGAGACTCACCAGGACCAGTTTAATTATCCGCCGCTGTAATTGGCCGTGAACGGGAATTGAACTCCGGTCGCTGGGTTCGTAGCGTGGCGTGCTACCCACTACACGAGAGCTTCCCACACAACACACAAATACACACACACATAACAACAACAGCCGCCGTAAGCCACTACGTGGCGATTATGTCACCACGGCGCTTGTGCCAGGCTAGGTACACTTTGAGGCCACGTGAAGTGTCGAAGGCTCGCTTAAAGGTCACGGGATGTGTCCAGGTGCCATGGGTCGATTGACTGAGATGACTGGAATAACACGACCTGTGCTCCCGACTGTGCACACATGGGCACACAACAAAAATAAAGACCCCCCATATAGCCTGAACAGACTGTTGGGGAAATTGTTTTCAGCGAGCACCTATGAAGGCCGGCACAGTACACGAGGGGGTGGGTGGCCAGCACCACGCCCGACCGCCTTTATCTCCTCTTTGTCGATGTTTACACACCGCACCAGGTACTCATTTGAGTCGACCGACACACATATACATACAAGAATGTACTTATCCACACCTATATCCACTACATCTACACACAGACACATACATACCTACATACAACACACACGATCACATTACAGTTACGGCGAGCGGCTGATTGGCAAGTGCGTTGGTTTGGCGAGTGCGAGTATGGTTAAGGTGAGCGATCGTTTCTGGTTGGCTCATCGGTCATGGTCAGGGGTAGGGCCAATATCTAGTGAGTGTGGTCAATGTCAATGCTCGTGTCTGGTTGGCTGGCTTAGTTTGGTTAGGGATAGCGCTAGGATCGTGCTGTAATGGCCGAAAAATGACCCCAAGCCAATATGCAGCCTAGCGGCTATTTGGAAATTAAAGGTCTCCAATTGCTAGAAAGAGGCCTCCACGGTGATTGGTCAGGAGGCAGACTTTTAGAGATCATTCGGGAAACAGAGAGGATCCGTTTGAGGGGAAGGACAGGGATTGGCTAAGGGAAAAACAGGAACAAGAAGCTTCCAGAAAGGGGGCTCAAGGAGTGTAAAAGGGGAGATCACGAGGAATGGGGACGTTCGGAGGAAGTTACAACCTGAAGGCAAGAACGAAGTCTAGGGTCCCTATTGTGACTGTGACCCAATAAAGTGGCTCGAATAACATCGTCGTCAGAGTCGTTACAGCGCTACAGCCTCTCTGATTGTCTCCTGTGTGTCCCTGTCACCCCTCCCCCCGCCTCCCCCGAACTCCACGTGCCCCCCGTGCCAACCGGTGACGAGGTGAGCCGAGGCGGCGCGGCGCCCCGAGGTGAGCGACCACAGGTGGAGGTCGTGCACGGCCTGCACGCCCGGCATGGACAGGAGCGACCCCTGCACGTCGTCGAATCGCTCACCCAGAGGGACACCTGTACACACACCACACACGCACACCACACACACAACAACAACCGCCATTCACCACTAAGTGGCGGTGACGTCACCACGGCGCTTGTGCCAGGCTATGTGGACGTCAAGGCCACGTGAAGTGTCGAACGCCCGCTGACTGAGATGACTGGCCGATGCACCACCTGTGCCTCCTACTGTGCTAACTTGCTGTGTTTTAGCCGCCCGGTGCTCCGCTCGTTGTTGTGAGCGTCGCTCGTCTGCCCTCTGTTGTTGCTGGAGGGCGACTGCCTCCAATTGCCCAGTAGCGTACTTCACGACCCTCCTCCATATAGACCGATCTTGACACGGCTGGTACCAGTTATCAGCAAGTCCACTCAGCTCCACATCCTCTTGTACCACATCACTCCATCTTTTCTCTAGCGTGGGCCGCGCCCGTTTTGCCCCCTCTATCCGGCCGAACAAAAGCTGTTTATGCATGCGGTGGCTGAGCATGCGGGCTACATGACCCAGCAAATGCTGCCATGCTTGCCAGAGAAGCTCACCGATGGGGCTTTGTCGAGATCTTTAAGGATATGTGAGCTCCGCACACAATCCAGCATGGTTAAACCCAGGATGGATTGTAAGCAGGCCAGCCTAAGTGTTTTCAACCGGCGAAGATGTTCCATTACGGGGACCCACGTTTCTCAAGCGTAGAGACGGGAGGACATTACCGTGGTCGAGAACACCCGAAGATTCGTGTGGAGCGACAGACCAGGTAGCTTCCACACAGCATTACGCAGCCGATTAAAATATAATTCCGCTCGCATGAGTTGGAGTGAGACCTTTGCTGTCAAACCTGAGCCGGTCATGAGCACACTGCCCAGGTTTGGGAAACTCCCCGCACTCTCCACAATTGCCCCATCACCAATTGGGAGTTGTGGGGGTGGAGTGTCTGATGGTACAACATACCCAGGCAGGTGCTTAGTTTTGGTGGGGCTGATGGTACGGCCCCACCTCTTAATGGCATGCTCCAGGTTCAGCAGCAGCGCCTCCAAATCCTCCTCTGAGTGAGCAGCAATCACCAGATAATTGGCATACAAAACACTGCACCCGGGCATCGATCAGCCTGCAAAAAATTCCTCCAGTACAACCATCGAAGTCTTCACGAACTACGTTGTCGAAATAGATGTTAAGTAATGTGGGAGCCAGAGGACATCCCTGTCGCACCCCAAAGTGAACAGGGAATGGCTCCGACTCCTGACCACACACACCAAAGACAAAGATCTCCCATATAGCCTGAACAGACTGTTGGGGCAAGTGCTGCTAGTGAGCACCTATGAAGGCCGGAACGGTATGCGAGGGGGTGGGTGGCCAGCACCACGCCCGACCGCCTTTGACTCCCAAGTGGCGATGTTTACACACCGCACCAGGTACTAATTTCAGGCTGATTCGACCTAGGGGAGGCCCAGGACCGGTTTAAATAATCATCACTAGTGTTGGCACTTGGCCGTGAGCGTGAATCGAACTCGGGTCTCCAGGTTCGTAGTGCAGCACGCTAACTGCTACACAACCACACACACCACAAAGACATACACACACACCACACACACACACACCACATACAACACACACGCCACACCACACACACCACGAACCCCACGTACACCACGTACAAACACCCCACACACACCACACAGTCATGAGGGGAACAATAATAGCCACCATTCACCACCTGGCTTGGGGCCCGTCCATAAATGACGTCACGCGATTTTGGACGATTTTTGACCCCTCCCCCCCCTTCGTCACACAGCGTTACAAAAAGTCAGACCCCCCCCTCAAATATGACGTCACAAAGCTCTGCCCCTCCCCCAAAAAAAATACATGCTTCAAATCGCTTTAAACTATTGTCACTATAGTGCGTATTTAATGTGCCGCTGCACTCTGATGTTGTAGGAGAAAACATATATATAAAAAGTCTATTTAATTAAGTAGAACGTGATTTAAAGCTTTCGTGACTGCAGGGATTCATATTATTATAAGTAGAACGTGCTGTCTATATTTATTTAAAGTTTCGCATTTTGATGTGACGTCACATTTCTCAACCCCCCCCCCCCCTCGTCACACATCGTCACAAATGTCTGATCCCCCCCCCCGGTGCGTGACGTCATTTATGGACGGCCCCTTGTGCCAGATGACGTACACTTTGAGGCAATTATGTGAAATGTGGAAGGCAGACCCAGGTGCTACAGGTTGACTGATATGACAGATGCACCACCTGTGCTTACGACTTGTGAACATTTACACACGCACACTCGCCCACGCACCCATACACACACACGAAGCAAAGACAAAGATCCCCTGTATAGCCTTAACAGACTGTTGAGGCAAGTGCTGTTAGTGAGCGCCTATGAAGATCGACACGGCACACGATAGGATGGTTGGCCAACACTACACCCGGCCCGCTTTGTCTCCCCAGTGGCGATATTTACACACCACACCAGGTACTCATTTGAGGCTGGGTCGACCTAGAAGAGGCCCAGGACCGGTTCAAATTATCGTCATCGGTGTTGACCGTGAGCAGGAATCGGAACTCAACGCCATAGCGCAGCTCGCCAACCGCTTACGCTACCGCCCGTACACGAGTGCGCACACAGGACCAAGACAAGTTGCTCAATGGCGCTTGCAAAATATGATCACGCAGGCATGAACTGCCCCAGTTCAGGAGCCTTTCCCCATCTAAGCCCGTGAGCTTCTGCCAACTCGGGAGTTGCGCGTCCCGGTCCCCGACTCTGGAAGCGTCTCCGTTGGCTGCATGGGTCGAACGCCGCAAGCTGCGAGTATAGGCCGCAAACCCTCGCGCCTCCCACAAACCCGCGTCTGGGTGCTCGCGAGGCATGATGATTACTTGTGCTGGGGGCAGCCGAGTGGCACAGGGGGTTAGAGGGGGCACTGAGCGGGTACAGCCGAGATCGAATCTGGGCGACCACCCGCGGTTGAACCAGGTCACGTGTAGCAAGGAGATGGCCTCGGCTCGCTAAGCAATGACCACAAAGATTCCCCGCATAGCCTTATCAGACTGTAGGGGCAGGTGCACCACGCGCGGCCGCCTTTGTATTCCTGGTGGCGATGTTTGCACACCATCGCACCAGCTACTCATATGAGGGTAAACACACACAATCCCATCAAAATTAATGTGGGGTTTCACTTTAATTACGTTCCAGGTCTGAGTACTGAAATGTGATTGACATGCAATGACCATTTTCAAAAGTGGTCCCAGGATGTCATTTTCTGCGGCTTTCCTCTTGCACAGGGCGATGCACTGCAGTTCTGAACATACATTCTTATATTTCTTGACGTGATGCCTATAGCCAAGAGCTCAATTTCTCACTTCATATCTTCCAAGCAGCTGGTGGACTGAACTCGGCAAGTGACTCATAGCCACAGACATTGTGCGGTTGGCTATGTATGGTGCGGAAGAAGTTCAACATACATACATACATAGATGCGGTGTGCCAGTTATGACCTTTTTTCTAGGTCACTAATGCAGAGAGACCCGGCTAGAATTATGGCCATCGATCGAATGGAATCTTAATTTGTTAAAAAAGGGATAATTTCACTTTACGCCTTTTCTCTCTGGTGATATTTCGACTGTGCCCCCAGAATAATGCCATGAAACAGATTTCCATTCGCAACTTTGTGAGCAAAGCATTGAACCCAGGAGACGATGTCACCGAACTACTTCTGAAATATCTTTGATTGGTCTCTTTGTCCAACATAGCCGCATATCTTTGATATGCCCTGCTAAGAATGTTATTCGCTTTTGATATTCTTTGGTTCTTTCAGTAAAGTCACGTAGATAGAAAAATAATAATAAAGTGAATCAAAAAACCACGACGTTTCCATCGCAACACATTCACTTGTCAGTGAAACCAAACGTTGTATTTGCACTTCATTAGTTGTATGCTCAATCAAGCAATTACCCAAATTAAATGTAGTTTTGTTTGTGTACAGATTGTAAATGTTGTGGATTTGCTCTTCAACACATCAGTGTGCTGTACTAGTAACGAAGTGACATGTTCTGTTTACGTGACGAACCTTAATAATTGGCTGTGTTGGGTGGTGGTGGGTTTAGCGACACATTTATATTTACACAATCTAATTAAAAATATATATTATGTTTGTGTCACTTATTGGTGACCGGGCTAAGACCACCGACTCGCCACACTCGAGGACCCGGTATAATCACACTTGGCTGAAACCCGGATTTCGTTGCCAGGTTTTGTGCTCCGACGCGGTTCTACGGCCTCTGAGCCACCCGTGCCACCTCGCTCATGAAGAACCCTACGGGTTAGACGCTTGATTTGCAGAGCAAGTCATTGTGCATTTTGGATCTGTCCGTCAGCGGAAAATGTTAGGGCTCGGCAGGACACGGGTGAGTGTCGATGGCCCCCAGACGTCACCCGCCCCAGTGTGACAAACGGGCGCCGGGTCTCGCAGTGACTCTTGTCACACCCAGGACATTGTTTAAGTCAGCGCCCCGCTACTGCGGCAGCTTTAAACGAAAACTGAGCACACAGCAGCCGTTTATACATCACCGGGGCAGCTGCTGCTGCTGCCTCTGCTGCACGGAAAGATAAATTATTTTACTGCCTTCCCGAAACTCGATTGCTCCATTATTCTCCTCTCTCCGAACCTGCAATCCTGCACTCCGCAAGGCGGTGTTTACGGATCAAGTTGTGATGGAGCAATTTTGCGTGCGGTGCAGGCAGCGTAATGTCCCTGATTACTAATTGCTTTCCTCAAACACAAAAGGCTCAAAGTGAATTTGCCGCACATCCCACGTAGGCCACTTATTAAGGGGACCCTTGAGATTTTGCGTGGGTTTCCTGGATAAACATAAGATTCCTATTAATGCCTTCTGTTTCCCCACGAGATCCAATTTATATTATTTCTCTCCCAGCTCTGTCTCTCATCTCCTGTTCCTCCACCCTCAGCCACTGCTCTGTTCCCCTTCCCCCTGCCGCCGCTCCGCACATCGGGCCGAGTGAAGTGTGAAATGAAACGGCACTGCCATAAAGACACGCTGGCACGCTCCGTGCGGGGCGGCTCGTGAATTACGACGACGATCACGGCGACGACGACGAGGAGGAGAATTCGCAAATATGTTCCTGCCCTGAGATGTCCATCGCTACGGGAAACACGCCCGACTGCCCGCCTGCCCGCCCGTCCGCTCTCTCTCTCTGTAAATCGCGATCGTGGACAGCGAAGCCAAAGCTCCGACCACATCATTCGTTCACGGGCAGCACTGCTGCTGCAGCCATGACATGGCTTGCCATCTTCAGCATTAGCCCAAAGTCCATTTTTGATCACCCCTCCTACACCCCGCTGCCGCCACTGCCATGCAAAGAAAGATAAAGGAAGACTGAAAATTAGTAATTATAGTAATCACGGGTACACCTGGCATTCACGCGATCATTACAGTGCACGGCTATCACGAAAACTCTGCGTGTCACACACGGGTGATGTTTGCTGTGCAGGTTTTTCTCAAGCAGATAAATAAGTGATTGGCCGGTGATAAAAAAAAATCTAATTGGACCATGATGACCCCAACACCCATGTCCACTGTGAGGCAGATTGCAGTATTAACCAGTGCGGCCAACAGGCTTGAACCCCTGCAACAAGCTGCAGATACATTACCGCTTGGCCATGCCACGTCGGCCAAATCACATCCTAGAATTTGCCACCAAATACATCCCAACTAGGTGGCTAGGTCGAATCCCAGTCGAGAGCTGACTCGACCCTTCATCTGGTTGCCACCATAGGAATGTGGAATTTCCACCACTGGCTCAGCCACTGCACCACACTTGTGTGAGCTAGGAGACACCTTGGGCTTCGCGTAGTAATGGGCACAAAAGGTGGTGCTCACAAAATGCGCAAATCTGTTTAACGTTTGGTACGTGCTCAGAATTACAAGAAAATGTTCGCACACGTTAAAAAATATTCACCCTAGCCCAGCCCCTTGCGGTGTTGTGCTGTGCTTCTACGCTCCTACGCCAACGCTCCCCGCCTTCGCTGACGCGTCCCGACCGGCGCGGTGAAGCATGTGCCACACTCACCCTCCATCAGCACCTGAAGCACGTCGCGCAAGATGGTGATGGTGGTCACGAGGACGAAGAGGGAGAAGATGAACGTGCAGATGGGGTCAACGAGCTTGTACTCTGGCTGGGGGGGGGGGGGGGGGGGGGGGGGGGCGGTGGGGGGGCACGGTGGGATCAGAGGACCGGGGGGGGGGGGGGGGGTCGCGTCAGCATCAGTGGCGAAATTCATCATCGTCACGGCCAATTTACATCGTGAGCATCGTCGCCACAAACGCTCATTTCACCACCATCACCCTATTCACATCATCACACCCTATTCACATCGTTACACCCTATTCGCACAATCTTCATCACACACAAATAACATAATCTTCATCACACCCAATAAAAATCATCATCACACCGTCTTCACATAATCACCATACCAAATTCACACCATCATCATCATACCCTATTCACATCTACATGACTATTATAAAGGACTTCATCATCATAATAACAGTTCATTCACATTAGCAAAAGTATCATTGTCATAATTACTCAATTCACCATCAGTTTAGCACGTAGGCTTTCATGACCAATATTTCCATAATAGAGGTTTTTGGGTTAGATCGCGTAATCTAACCCAAAATCCTCTATTATTATTATCATCATCATCATCGTCGTCGTCACTTACGTACATCAAAAACACCTTCCCCTCTTTCTCATCAAGGGCTTGTAACGTGTTCTTTAACCACAGACCGATGTTAATGTGTGGCGTGATTAGAAAAATACGTTGAATCGGAGAGCGCCTCGGAGTAACGAGCGGGGCAAATGGAGCGTGGGAACGACACCGCAATGGCCATCTAAAAGCACCGCACGATTATTGGCATCCAACTCTTAATGGTTCTCTCTCGAGCGTTTTCACTTTCAAAAGATAATTGTTTTAAATGAAAGAAACTTCATTTAAAAAGTCCCGAAAATATTCAGTGCAAAAGTAAGTTAACGACAGGGGATTAGTTATGAAATTGTCTGGTGGTCGACGGCGTTCATAATGGATCTTTTAGAACACTGAGCCGACACCGCTGGGATCCTGGGTTCGACTCCGCGCACCGGTGATTAAACCAGGTTCAGAAGCGTCGTGAGTTCATGGTTTTGGCTCAGGCACCCAATGACTGCACACATATCCCATCATATCACTTTGGTTTCAATTCTGCATGAACCAGCAACAAGGACAAAAATGTATACACGGATTGGATTAATGACATCCGATATACAGGTTTCCCTCGCTTTATGTGGGTTCGGTTTGTGCGCTTTCGCGTACATGCGGCTAACCTATTTCTACAGTGACAGAAGTGAGCGTGGTGTTTGTATATGAGCGTGTGATGACCCACCATGGGAACGGTGGTGCAGCGGTTAGCGCGCTGCCCTACGAACCTGGCGACCCGAGTTCGATTGCCGCTCACGGCCAACACCACTAACGATTATCTGAAGCGGTCCTGGTGCGGTGTGTAAACATCACGACTCGGGAGACAGAGGCGGCTGGGCGTGGTGTTGGCCACCCACCCCCTCGTGTGCCGTGCCGGCCTTCATTGGTGCTGCTCGCTAACAGCACTTGCCCCAACAGTCTGTTAAGGCTATACGGGGATCTTTGTCTTTGGTGGCTCACGAGCGGCATTTGAAAGCACACATGAAACGTTTCCCAACCCCTGCTGTGAACAGCGAACACAGGTGGCAAGATAGACCCGTGTAATATGCCCCCTGCTATCGGCCCGGTGGCTCAGCGGCAGAAGGTGCGGCTCGTGGTCAGAAGGTTGCGTGCTCAAATTCGGACGGTGTTGACTCGGCCCCGCCATTCCTCCGGCATTGGTAACGGAGGCTGGGGGCATCCATCGCCACCTTCTGCCGCACTTACCTTAAAGAAGATAATGCAGGCAGCGACGAGGACGCCGATGCTTTGCAGGAGGTCTCCGAGGGCGTGGATGAAGGCGGCGCGGATGCTCGGGTTAGAGTGGCTCTGCAGATGCGAGTGGCCGTGCAGGTGAAGAGGCACCGCTGGGGGAGCCTCCGAGTCCCCGCTGGGTCCGGAGGAGTGATGGCCTCGCGCGAGGAGAACAGCCATGCTGCAGAGAGAGAGAGAGATAAGTTCTGATTGGACAATGTCATGTCGTCAACATGAACATCGTTGACGAATATGATCTTCTTTTGTCAGGCGGAGTGAAATGTCTCCACTCTTTCTGGCCTCCGGCCACGGCAATGGCTTCGTGTAGGCCCATGAGGCTGTGCGAGCTCTTCCCCCTCCCTGGTTGTCGATGCATACTTCCTCGAGGTTGGCCTCTACTCCGTACTCCTTCCATATGGCTGCACAGGGCCATTGCTGGCCATCTATTGCTTTCCATCCCAGTTGCCCACACAAACCAACGAAGCCTGTGCTTTTATCTCTTCTGCATGAATGCGATGGACACTGACATTGTCTTTGTGGGCGCTAGCATCTCGAATGTCCTTCCCCCGCACGTCAGATTAACGACGCGAAGGAAGTTCTACATACATATATTAAATTAATCAACGTTATCTTCACCATCAAAATCACCATTAACATATCTTCATTGTCTCATCATCACTATCTCTGAAATAATCTTCGTACATGTGTCATGACAAGATGGTAATCATCGCAATAATGTTGATACTGATCTATGTCATTAAGATAATCTTCATGAAGCGCCGCCACCACCACCATCATCATCACCAGTACCGTTCACCTCGTGATCATCGTTATTAACATCACTACCAAAATCATCTACATCTCTTGTCATTATTTTTTGCATAATTTTGGAGGTCACGCTTAACATCACAATGTTTGTCGAGGCAACAAAAGGGCGAATAAGTAGCGGTTGGGTGGGTGACAGTGAGAGCCCTTTGTTGAAGGGGTGAACACGTGAACGAGGGGCTATAGGAGCGTGCGTGAGAGTGACAAAAATAAAACTGTGTCCAAAAACATTGCTGAATTTTTTTTAAGTTATCAGTCTTCAGTTACCGTTCACGCGCGATTTAAGAAGTGACGTGATGTAATCCCGTACGTTGTACGTTCGAACTCGTGCAATGTTATTTTGAATCACATCCTTCTAAGCGGACATATGTTCGGTTGACCTAACCTGTGAGTAGCGGCACTGTGACTGGGTATGGCCGTGCTCTGTGTGGATTGGCGAGGGCAGCCGCTGCTGCCCGAACGCTCACGAAGTATCTCGCTAGCTGTTGAAAACAACCGCTTCCACCTTTTCACTGCGTGTGGAATACGGTCGATCTCTTCAGTTTTTGTTTTTAAATCGAATTAGAACATGAAATCGCCCGTTATGGGTGATGTGATTATATCGGTGGTGGTGTGATTATATCGGTGGTGGTGTGATTATATCGGTGATGTCATTATATCAGTGGTGTGATTATATTGGTGGTGGTGTGATTATATCGGTGATGCGATTATATTGGTGGTGTTATTATATCGGTGGTGGTGTGAATATATCAGTGGTGGTGTGATTGTATCGGTGGTGTGATTGTATCGGTGGTGTGATTATATCGGTGGTGTCATTATATTGGTGGTGTGATTATATCGGTGATGTGATTATATTGGTGGTGTTATTATATCGGTGGTGGCGTGATTATATCGGTGGTGGTGTGATTGTATCGGTGGTGTGATTATATCGGTGGTGTGATTATATCGGTGATGTCATTATATCAGTTGTGTGATTATATCGGTGGTGGTGTAATTATATCGGTGATGCGATTATATTGGTGGTGTTATTATATCGGTGGTGGTGTGATTATATCAGTGGTGGTGTGATTGTATCGGTGGTGTGATTATATCGGTGGTGTGATTATATTGGTGCTGTGATTATATCGGTGATGTGATTATATTGGTGGTGTTATTATATCGGTGGTGGTGTGATTATATCGGTGGTGTGATTGTATCGGTGGTGTGATTATATTGGTGATCTCATTATATCAGTTGTGTGATTATATCGGTGGTGGTGTGATTATATCGGTGGTGGTGTGATTATATCGGAAGTGGTGTGATATCGGTGGTGGTGTGATAATATCGGTGGTGGTGTGATTATATCGGTGGTGGTGTGATTATATCGGTGGTGTGATTATATTGGTGGTGGTGTGATTATATCGGTGGTGTGATTATATCGGTGGTGTGATTATATCGGTGGTGGTGTGATTATATCGGTGGTGTGATTATATCTGTGGTGTGATTATATCGGTGGTGTGATTATATCGGTGGTGGTGTGATTATATCGGTGGTGTGATTACATCGGTGGTGTGATTATATCAGTGTTGGTGTGATTATATCGGTGGTGGTGTGATTATATCGGTGGTGGTGTAACTTTATATCGGTGGTGGTGTGATTATATCGGTGGTGTGATTATATCGGTGGTGTGATTATATCGGTAATGTCATTATATCAGTGGTGTGATCATATCGGTAGTGGTGTGATTATATCGGTGGTGGTGTGATTATATCGGTGGTGGTGTGATTATATCGGTGGTGGTGTGATTATATCGGTGGTGGTGTGATTATATCGGTGGTGGTGTGATTATATCGGTGGTGTGATTATATCGGTGGTGTGATTATATTGGTGCTGTGATTATATCGGTGATGTGATTATATTGGTGGTGTTATTATATCGGTGGTGGTGTGATTATATCGGTGGTGTGATTGTATCGGTGGTGTGATTATATCGGAAGTGGTGTGATTATATCGGTGGTGGTGTGATAATATCGGTGGTGGTGTGATTATATCGGTGGTGGTGTGATTATATCGGTGGTGTAATTATATCGGTGGTGTGATTATATTGGTGGTGGTGTGATTATATCAGTGGTGTGATTATATCGGTGGTGTGATTATATCGGTGGTGGTGTGATTATATCGGTGGTGGTGTGATTATATCGGTGGTGTGATTATATCTGTGGTGTGATTATATCGGTGGTGTGATTATATCGGTGGTGGTGTGATTATATCGGTGGTGGTGATTATATCGGTGGTGTGATTATATCAGTGTTGGTGTGATTATATCGGTGGTGGTGTGATTATATCGGTGGTGGTGTGATTATATCGGTGGTGGTGTGATTATATCGGTGGTGTGATTATATCGGTGGTGGTGTGATTATATCGGTGGTGGTGTGATTATATCGGTAATGTCATTATATCAGTGGTGTGATTATATCGGTAGTGGTGTGATTATATCGGTGGTGGTGTGATTATATCGGTGGTGGTGTGATTATATCGGTGGTGTGATTATATTGGTGCTGTGATTATATCGGTGATGTGATTATATTGGTGGTGTTATTATATCGGTGGTGGTGTGATTATATCGGTGGTGTGATTGTATCGGTGGTGTGATTATATCGGAAGTGGTGTGATTATATCGGTGGTGGTGTGATAATATCGGTGGTGGTGTGATTATATCGGTGGTGGTGTGATTATATCGGTGGTGTAATTATATCGGTGGTGTGATTATATTGGTGGTGGTGTGATTATATCAGTGGTGTGATTATATCGGTGGTGTAATTATATCGGTGGTGGTGTGATTATATCGGTGGTGGTGTGATTATATCGGTGGTGTGATTATATCTGTGGTGTGATTATATCGGTGGTGTGATTATATCGGTGGTGGTGTGATTATATCGGTGGTGGTGATTATATCGGTGGTGTGATTATATCAGTGTTGGTGTGATTATATCGGTGGTGGTGTGATTATATCGGTGGTGGTGTGATTATATCGGTGGTGGTGTGATTATATCGGTGGTGTGATTATATCGGTGGTGTGATTATATCGGTGGTGGTGTGATTATATCGGTAATGTCATTATATCAGTGGTGTGATTATATCGGTAGTGGTGTGATTATATCGGTGGTGGTGTGATTATATCGGTGGTGGTGTGATTATATCGGTGGTGGTATGATTATATCGGTGGTGGTGTGATTATATCGGTGGTGTGATTATATTGGTGCTGTGATTATATCGGTGATGTGATTATATTGGTGGTGTTATTATATCGGTGGTGGTGTGATTATATCGGTGGTGTGATTGTATCGGTGGTGTGATATCGGTGGTGTGATTATATCGGTGGTGGTGTGATTATATTGGTGATCTTATTATATCAGTTGTGTGATTATATCGGTGGTGGTGTGATTATATCGGTGGTGGTGTGATTATATCGGAAGTGGTGTGATTATATCGGTGGTGGTGTGATAATATCGGTGGTGGTGTGATTATATCGGTGGTGGTGTGATTATATCGGTGGTGTAATTATATCGGTGGTGTGATTATATTGGTGGTGGTGCGATTATATCAGTGGTGTGATTATATCGGTGGTGTGATTATATCGGTGGTGTGATTATATCGGTGGTGGTGTGATTATATCGGTGGTGTGATTATATCTGTGGTGGTGTGATTATATCGGTGGTGGTGTGATTATATCGGTGTGATTATATCGGTGGTGTGATTATATCAGTGTTGGTGTGATTATATCGGTGGTGTGATTATATCGGTGGTGGTGTGATTATATCGGTGGTGGTGTGATTATATCGGTGGTGGTGTGATTATATCGGTGGTGTGATTATATCGGTGGTGGTGTGATTATATCGGTGGTGGTGTGATTATATCGGTAATGTCATTATATCAATGGTGTGATTATATCGGTAGTGGTGTGATTATATCGGTGGTGGTGTGATTATATCGGTGGTGGTGTGATTATATCGGTGGTGGTGTGATTATATCGGTGGTGTGATTATATCGGTGGTGTGATTATATCGGTGGTGGTGTGATTATATCGGTAATGTCATTATATCAGTGGTGTGATTATATCGGTAGTGGTGTGATTATATCGGTGGTGGTGGTGTGATTATATCGGTGATGTGATTATATATGTGGTGTGATATCGGTGGTGGTGTGATTATATCGGTGGTGGTGTGATTATATCGGTGATGTGATTATATCGGTGGTGTGATTATATCGGTGGTGGTGTGATTATATCAGTGGTGGTGTGCTATCGGTGGTGGTGTGATTATATCGGTAGGGGTGTGATTATATCGGTGGTGGTGTGATTATATCGGTGGTGGTGTGATTATATCGGTAGTGTGATTACACACTCAGAACTAAGCGTTAATCAGCAAAGTGTCAGTTTCTTACCTGCGCTTACCAAAATTTCAGTAACATCGTCGACGCTCCTTATAAAACACTCGCACGCACAATCCGCAGCCCTAAACACATGCATCCACGTCTCACGTCTCTCTCCTCTCACGCCTATAAATAACCCCTCACCTCATTTCCCCCAAAGTGAGGGATCTGAGAGAGCGATGGTTGGCAGTTTATGGTGTCGGCTGAGCGAATGTGCAGCTCGCTTTGCCCGAGGGAGTGCTCCATCGGGGACGGCGTCCGAGTTAAATGTCAGGTTTAGACTCTCCGTGTCTCAACCTGCTTCCACCCATTCATTTACATTTATGCAGCGGGGGGTCTTAATTTCTCACTGAATATATTACAGGTCGCTGGTGATGGACTGGAACAGGCACGTCATTCAGGACAGGAGTAGGCGGTACGAGGATAGTGTCGCAGCCGAAGCGAGACACATTTCGGATGTGGCGTGCTGTGTGTGTCAAAATATACCCCAGGGTCGCCAATCCGGCTGCTATGAATCCCTGGACACGTGACGTATTAAACACAACGTGGGCGATGCCTGTTTCATAGACAGTGGGGTAACAACTGAGCCCGTTGGCCACCGATTTACCGCAGCATTTGTTGAAGCAGGCAAAACTAACTGGAGAATGATGTTGACCTTTTGGAAACTCATGAGCGGAGGTCGGCCTATCAGGATGGCGGGCTGTGCCGCACTGGAGAGACCCGTATAAGCTGAAGCCAGCGCGAGATTCGCATTGGTTAAACCAGTAGGTCTCAGAGAGTGGTCCCCGCACCACCAGCGAGTGGTCTGCGACGGTCCTCCAGGTAGTCTGCAGAGCTGTGAAGCAAATGCAGGTTGATCTGGAAAATAATGACAATTTTTACCTTTTGTTTCGGCCAATGAATATTTGACTTATGATATAAAAGAAAATGAAGTTAGGTAAACTACTCTGATTAGTTTAGGTAAATTACTCTGATTAAACTAAGCAATCCCTAAGATCTAAATGCCCCCCGCCCCATTAAAAAAGCCTTACAGCTGCGTACAATGAAGCAATGTTTTTATGTTCAAGTAATATGAATATTTTTGTGTCACCGGTATTTAGAGAGAGAAATGAATGCGTTTTGACACCAGGGGTGTAGGATGCTGGGTGGTCCGTGGATGAAACAGATTCTGCTCCTGTGAATAATATTGCTTCACGACCCACAATTCTGCGCAAAGGTGCACTGATTGCGTCCATATGAAGTCAGTGATGAGGATGATGTTTTTTTACATTATGAGACCTCCTTTGCCACTAACAAGATATAGGAATAGGTTTTACCCTTTTAACTGGCACAAAAACTGACACCTTTATTCAAGGCATCATGTTTGCAATAACCACAACACAAGCAGTCAAAATGCAAACAAAAAAGACAACTCTGATAATAATATGCACTGTCCTTGAATTTGATTGGTCCACACCCGAGACGGCTTTTCTTAGAGCCTAGTCTCCATTGGTGTTGGACCAGAAGACGCCAAAAGGCGTACAACTCAAAAACAGCGCACTATCAGAGTATTGAGGGCTCGGGGTGAGCATTTACATTATGAGACCTCCTTTGCCAGTAACAAGATATAGGAATAGGTTTTACCCTTTTAACTGTCTCATAATGTAAATGCTCACCCCGAGCCCTCAATACTCTGATAGTGCACTGTTTTTGAGTTGTACGCCTTTTGGCGTCTTCTGGTCCAACACCAATGGAGACTAGGCTCTAAGAAAAGCCGTCTCGGGTGTGGACCAATCAATTTCAAGGACAGTGCATATTATTATCAGAGTTGTCTTTTTTGTTTGCATTTTGACTGCTTGTGTTGTGGTTATTGCAAACATGATGCCTTGAATAAATGTGTCAGTTTTTTGTGCCAGTTAAAAGGGTAAAACCTATTCCTAGAGGATGATGTTGATGATGAAAGAATGATGAAAATGTCAATTCGCAAAAATGCGGATGTCTTACCTGGTGAATAATATTGCTTCACGACCCACAATCCCGCGCAAAGGTGCATACTGATGTTGTTCATATAAAGTCGGTGATGTTGTTGATGATGAAAGAATTGTGACTATATCAATTGTAATTATGCGACAGAAACAAAGATTCCCATAAAACTACAGCCTTTTTAGGCTGTTGGGGCAAGTGTAGTTAGCAAACATTAGGAAGCCATTGGAGCTATGCACTTTTAAATTTCGATTGAAGACTAATTTCTTTAAAACTGCTTTTTGTGTTTAGTTTGTTGTCTTTTCCCCACGCCTCCTATTAGCGCGGTTGGCTACGTACGGTCCGAAAGAAATTTAATATACATACATACAAGGCCGACATAGGTGTAGTGCCATAGATGGGCCGCACTTTCCGGCAGTGGTAGACGGGGCACATCTGCAGGCGGTACCTTGTACCGCCAGGAGAGGGGCTGCAGTAACAGCCCAAGAGGGGAGGGGCTGCAGTAACAGCCCAAGAGGGGAGGGGCTGCTGGGGGCTCAGGATCCTAAACAGCTAAGCCCCTCGGCGCCCCCAACGGCGGGGGGGCTGCGGGGGTTCTGGGATCCCTCGCAGCCCCACCCCTCGATGGGCAGGGGGCATAAAAGGGCACCTCCCCAGCCGATCTGAGCCAGTCGCCGACCGAAGAACCAAGACCAGCCAGCTTAGGACCCTGAACCCCCTTGCCCCGCTGTCCTTGTATAAGGGCCGGGACGCTGTGCGGGCCGGTGGTGGGACTCTGAGACTCCCGGCTCCATGCCCTTGTAAGGGCGAGGTCGCTGTGTGGGCCAGTGGTGGGACTCTGGGCCACTGGTGGGACTCTGGGCCAGTGGTGGGACTCTGGGACTCCCGGCTTCACGCCCTTGTAAGGGCAAGGTCTGAGGAAGCCAGAGTCTGGACCCGCACCTTGGCTGGGTCGGGTCAGGATAGCTTCCCCTAGGGTAATCATAGCCGGAGGACCCGAGAGCGTAGCCAGTGTCAGGCACGCTAGAAGTAGGCTGTGTCCCTAGGCTGTATCAGGACTGTTGGCGTGGTGTGTTGTAATAAAGAGTCGCCTCTACAAGTGTCTCCAGAACCAATTACATAGGTACACGTGGTGGTGTGGACAGCACCACGCCCGGCCGCCTCTGTCTCTCCAGTGCTGATGTTTATACACTGCACCAGGTTCTCATTTAAAGCTGAGTCGACTTAGGGGAGACCCAGGACCTGTTCAGATATTCGCCACTGATGTTGGCCGTGAGCGGGAATCCGAATCCAGATCTCCAGGTTCCTAGCGCAGTGCACTGAGCACTTCACTACCACTCCCCAAAATGTATGTTACGCTTGCACACTCACGCACGCGCGCATGCTCTCACCCACCCAGTAAACATGCAACGTTGGTTCTAGAGGCCGACCGAAACTGAATTTTTGGTTTCGGCCAAAACCGAAACCAGACTGAAAGTTAAAAAATTTACTTTCGGCCGAAACCGAAAGTATGCCGAAAGAGGCCATTTGCCAACTTTCGGTGCTGAAACCGAAACCGAATTTCGGTCGGCCTCTAGTTGGCTCAACGTTGGAATACGGTTGGAACCATTGGCCCAACGTTGGCCTAACGTTGGCATGTGGCTGGAACCGTTGGACCAAAGGTGGCCCGTGGTTAGAATTGTTGGACTAACTTTGGTCCAACGTTGACCCAACGTTGACGGCAAGTGGCTGACTGTGTGCAAGCGCACACACATGATGTTGACGATGACGGCGCAAGCGGAGGTGGCGAGCATGGCCGTCCCTTCGATGGCGAAGTCTCGCGAGATCATGCGGCAGGCAGCCAGGTAGACCAGCACGCCGGTCACCACCCAGATGGAGAAGATGGAGAGCAGTGCGCCCAGGATCTCTGCTCACACGGACACAGACAAAGGTCCCCCAGGTAGTCGAATACAAGACGTCGGGGCAGATGCTGATCATGAGCACCTACTTGGGCCGCCACGGCGCACAACGGGGTGGTGTGGCCAGCGCCACGCTTGACCGCCTTGGTCTCCCCAAGCGATGCTGTCGGCACACAACACCAGGCGTTGTTTCAAGGCTGAGCCGACCTAGGAAAAGCCAAGGGGCCTGTTCTGATAGTCACCACCGATGTTAGCCATGGCCGGGAATCGAACCTCGGTGACTGAAGTTGCAGCACGGCATGACAGACGACGTCACAGGTAAACTCAGGCCATCATTTTTGTACGAAGCGAAGAATAGTCAGCCTGTGAAGCAATTGGCCCCAACCATTCGACTGTGGAATTCCCACCACGTGCTCAGGGTCATCACAATGAAGACGAACCCTGCGCCATCGCTCATTCGAGCGGGGAGAGAACGCCAACCTGACTGAGCACCCGATTAGCCGCACTGATGGCTCCACACTTGTGCAACACCCTTCTCTCGCGACTGAGAAGAGCCGACTCCGTGGCTGCTAAACATTCATTCTCTCCGCACCCGGCACACCACATCCAGTATCCACCGCTAGCTGTGGCTCTGTGGCTCCGTGTCAATCGCCACCTGTACCATGTCCACCGGCGACCCGGGAACTGTTCAGTGCGGGACTGCACCCTGGATCCCCGCCCCCCTCACTGTTCACGGTTCACGAACGGCACTTGAGACGGAGGCGCCGGTGCTGCTCACGCTATAACCAAGCAATTTTTGTGAATACTTGTTTTGATTTGTGTTTGAGCACTATTTGTTGTTCATGCTGGTTTTAGTCGGTTTTCGTGTGGCTTTCGTGCAAATAATTTGCCGTTGTTTTTTCGCTGCTGTTAGTTTGCACAGTCCAAACCAGCAGCGTCCGGTAATCGCCACCGCTGCCGGATGTCTTGGACCTATGGCCGTCTGTGTAACAGAGCTGCTTCGCTCACTGGGGCCTGACCAGCTGAAATAAAGTCCGAATCTGAGTGTCCGAGTCTCTTTGTAACTCTACGAATCTCCGTGCCACTCTATATAACTGTAATATCCTGTAACTGCCACCACTGCCCGGAGAGTCTTGGGCTGGGGTTGTCCCCAAGCGACAGAGCTGTTGAACTCAGTGAGCCGTACCAGCTGGAGAAAGCGAGGTTTTGAGTCGTCTTGATTCGACCGGCAGCGAAAGGGTTGGTCCTCACCTGCCCGATACCAGCCGAACGTCATCCTCTTGCTGGTGGGTCTGTCAGCGAGCCACAGCGACAGGAGGCTGATGGAGAAGCTTGCAAAGTCGGTGAGCAGGTGGGCGACGTCGGTCATGATGGCCAGGCTGTGCGCGAGGATGCCACCTTCAAGAAAGAGCAACAAAGTTCATACCGCGTCGAACCACCCTGTACGAGCGCATGTCAAAATTATTTCGCACCGTACGTAGTCAACCGGAGGTGCGCCGAATTCCCAAAGACCAATCGGTCAATGATTCCGAAGTAGGACCCTCGTAAAAAGAGCAACAGCACTCGATTGAGCCTCTTCCGGATAAACACAGCAGTCACCTTCAATGTTATAGACCACTGCCCATGTGCATGCACATTGCACAGCATACCGTGCGTATGGTTGCAAGGGAATAGGGTCACGTGAGCTATTTAATTCACGTAAGAAATGTGAACAGAAGTTACTGATCCAAATGGCTGCACACTCACATTGGGCATGATATTCATCCTGACCCAACGCATGCAAAGACTGCAACATCAAGGGATTACAAAATAACAAGTTGCAGTCCTCTACTGCACGGAGCATGCTTGACCATAATTCGCCATCGCTGATCAGTGCAGCTTGGTAGAGAGGGGGCGGATTCCCGGGACTCAGTCCACTTATTATTCACCACTGAGATTAGCCATGGGCAGGAATCAAACTCACGTCACTAGGTTCGTAGCGCAGCATGCAAAGCACTCGCGTCGCTGCTCCCCACCCCCCGCAGTGAGCAACAATGTCAGCACCAAAAACAAAGCCCAATCGTAGTGCAGTGCCACGGAGTGCGTACCAAGACTGCCAAGAGACGCATTACTCTCCTGTTCAACTGATAGGCACTTTGAGCAGTGCTCCCACTAGCAATTAAAAAGGTCGCGAGTTCAAATCACAGTCAGTGGCCAGCTCAGCTCATGTTTCCTCCAGGATCAGTAAACACGATGACTACTTTGTGGGAAGTCAACAGTTCCGCAATCTTTCGCCTTGCACCCTAAACAGGCATGTGGGGCATTTCCACCACTCTGGTTTAGGGCCAGCAATTGAGATGAGCATTGATCTGATTTGTGGCTCTTACAATGAGTTTCTGAGCTACTCTCACCCTAACTCGATGCCCTAGACCAAAACATAGACCGCCCCCCCCCCCCCACTGTAAATACTACCTGCAGTGATATATCGTAGCTGAGAGAGTAATGGGGCGTTGCAGATTGGATATTGCATGATGCGGCATTTAATATTCCCCTCTGTCTCAATATCCTATAAATCACTGAATTGATTACTGAATCAAAGTCCGAAAAGATGGCTCTGAAATCTTGTTTGATTGGCGTCAAACTAAAGATGAGTGCTGGCCTGTGCCTGAGTTGAGTGGGGAGATGTTGTGACATTGACCCGTATATAGGGTGTGACATGTCCAGTGCATCTCTCATCATCAGTCACCTTCAGCGCACTACTGGATGGAGGGCTTCCAAGCCGCTGCCATCTCTCACGATCCTGCGGTGCAATAATCCACCCAGCACCTGCCCCACGGAGCTGATGCCACCGCTCCTTCATCTACCTCCAACGAATCCATTCTGAGCCCCCCCCCCCATCAACCCCGAAGCCCGCCACCCACCGACCGCCTCCCCGATGATGAAGACGAAGCAGATGACGCTGACGAGGTACAGCTGCCTCTTGGCTCGCTCGCTCTCCTCGCGCCGCCTCCGCCTCTGACCGCCGGCATCCGAGTGGCACGGGCTGTGGCCCAGCGCCTCGTGCGCCAAATCCACGCCAGCGCCGTCGGGGAACTTGCGCGGCGGCGAGTCCGTCGCCTGGAGGAGGCTGTTAACGCTGCTCACGGAGCTAAGTGGTTTGTGGAATCGGGCCACGGGGGTTTGAGTTGGAGAGATATTCGAAGAATGGCGTGGGGTGAGGGTGGGGTGGGTGGGGAGGGTCACAATTCGTGTTCGAGGCTCACGGGTTTAGGTTGGGAACCATGGGGGAATGAGGGCACCACGGGTCGGGAAGGGTCTAGAACAGGAGTCGGCATCCTGCGGCTCTTTAATGGCCGCTTCGTGGCAGTATTTATCAAGGACCACCGTCTCGTATCCACCACAGTGAATTGCGGCTCTTGGAACATCGAGTTGTGCTTTTTGTTTGGTACCGAATTTGAAGAAAAAAATGGCTCTTCTTGTTATGTTGGTTACCGACCCCTGGTCTAGAACGATAGAGTCAAACCTTCTTGGTTTTCCTGATACAGCCGTAGATCAGATTTACGTCTCACCCTTTAACGTGGTTACGCAAATACCTCGTCACTGTGTTAACACCGCGACCCGATCTGCGTCGCCTGAACCCCAGACTCGCGTCGCTGACTACTTCGTCCGTCCTTTCTCTTTATCCGTCGCCTCTCCTCCACCCACTACTAACCCTGTACACGAACTAATTTGCGTCGCGCATAAAGAAATGTACCGTACGGTGGAGTAGCGTTTATCATTTACGTGCAGAATTTTGGTCATTCGGAAAAAAATCGCTTTGATTTTCGTTGTTGCGATATTCGTCGTCGCACCTTTCAGGGACGCATTCCCGACGTAAAACGAGGATTTGCTGTGCTCAAGATGACGTATTTAACCTGCCCAACACATGCAAACGCCAACAGGGAATTGCCCGAACATCCCACGCCAGGACCCTCCTGCATAAGAACTGCGACACTCGATTAAGGCTCACCTGGATATACATTATAGGCCACAACACGTACACTCAAGGCGTGCCATTCTGCGAGCCTTCTTTTTCCAATGATGATTACGCTTGTTTAACCAGGAAAATCCCTGCTGAGTCTCATGACACGTTTTCAAGAGGGCCCTGCCAAGTTTCCACAGTAGGGGGCAATGGTTGCAAATCTAAATTCTTGGTTGAGTAATTTGCAGGTACATTTAAAAATAAAAAATGTGGACGCCAGCAACCCGAAGGTCTACGCTTCCGCGACTGACGTCTGAGGATTCTTTAACATCGGCCGTGAAGCGGACGGGTGCGCATGTGTGTGCGTGTGTGTGCGCGCACGTGTATGTGTGTGCACGCGTGTGTATGTGTGTGCGCGTGTGTGTGCGTGTGTGTGTGCGTGTGTGTGTGTGCGTGTGTGTGTGCGCATGTGTGTGTGTGTGCGCGCACGTGTGTGTGCGTGCGTGCACGTGTGTGTGTGCGTGTGTGTGTGCACACGTGTGTGTGTGCGCATGTGTGTGTGTGTGCGCGCACGTGTGTGTATGCGCGTGTGTGTGTGCGCGTGTGTGTGTGTGTGCGCGTGTGTGTGTGGGTGTGTGCGTGTGTGTGTTTGCGTGTGTGTGTGATGGGTGTACACCCAGGACCCCATTCCAAGATAAAGTGGCCTGGTCTCAGTTATCTGATGAAAGTTGCAAGCGAGAATTTCATCATCGCCTGCGGCTGGGGTTGGCATCGTCCCCCACTCCTCCTGATGTCGAGGGTAAATGGGCGAGGTTTAGGACTGTCACTCATGAAGCTGCATTGGCTGCTTTGGGTACGCGGACCAGACCTCCCCAGAGACCCTGGCTGACAGAGGAGGTGTTCAGGATAGTTGAGAAAAAGCGACAGGCCCACTGTCATCGGCTACAGAATCCCACGTCCGAGAATGAGGAGGCTTACCGCAGCCTTCGCTCGGAGGTTCAGAGAGCTGTGAGGCGCTGCAAGGATGGGTGGTGGTCGCCGGTTGCTGAGGAGATGGAGTCGGCCTCAGTGGCCCGCGATCACAAATCTCTATTTAACTCAATCAAAAAAGTGACTTGCAGCGCCACACCTATTACCATCTTTAGGGAAAAAACGGTGATCCAATCTCCGACCCCCAGGAACAGGTTTGCAGATTTGCTGAGCGTTTCTGTGAGGTCCTTGGGGAGGGAAAATCCCTCAGCCAGGAAAACATCGTGGCACAAAGTGGGGATGACTCTGCTGAGGCTGCGGTGCCTCAAATATTGGAAGAAGTCACCCCCTGTGAGTGGCTGGCTGAGGTGCCATCTGTTTAGGAAGTACTGAAGGCGATCCGGAGTCTGAGACCAGGAAAGGCAGCGGGCAGAGATGATCTCCCAAGCGAAATGCTGAGGGAGGGTGGCGTTTGTGCACAGACTGCCCTATATGACATCATAACAACAGTCTGGACCACTGGACGGGTTCCGCAGGATTGGAAGGATGCCCTGGTGGTCCCCCTCTTTAAGAAGGTGGACCGCACAGACTGTAACAACTACAGGGGCTTCTCACTCCTCAGTGTGCCGGGAAAGGTCCTGGCAAGGATTATTCAACATCGCCTTGCCAGGCACGCTGAGGAGAGGCTTGCGGAGCCCCAATGCGGTGTCAGGAAAGGGCGGTCCTGCACTGATGTCATATTTTCGGTCCGTCTGCTACAGCAGAGGTGTAGGGAATTCCAGCAAGACCTACATCTTTGCTTTATTGACCTGGTCAAGGCCTATGATACCATCAGTAGGCCTGGGCTCTGGGTTGTTCTTCGTGCTTTTTGAGTCCCTGACCCTCTGCTCACGATCATTAAGGACCTTCATGATGGTGAGCCGGCCCGGGTAAAACTACGTGGCCGGGAGTCAGAGCCATTCCCTGTACACCTTGGGGTGTGACAGGGATGTCCTCTGGCTCTCACATTATTTAACATCTATTTTGACCACGTAGTTCGTGAAGCCTTCAATAGCTGTACCGGGGGAATCTCCATATGGTACAGATATAATGGGAGGCTTGTCGATGCCCGGGTGCGGTCAAGGGATGGCTCCCTATTGCTCAACCACGTTATGTATGCCGATGATTTGGCAATAGCTGCTCATTCAGAGGAGGAGTTGCAGACGCTGCTGCTGATACTGGAGCGTGCCACTAAGAGATGGGGCCTTACTATCAGCCCCACCAAAACTAAGCACCTGCCTGGGTATATTGTACCATCGGACACTCCACCCCCACAACTCCCAATCGGTGATGGGGCAGTTGTGGAGAGAGTGGAGAGTTTCCCATACCTGGGTAGTGTGCTCATGACTGGCTCCAGTTTAACAGCAGAGGTCTCACTCCGAATCAGTCGAGCGGCAATATCTTTTCATCGGTTGCGTAACGCTGTGTGGAAGCTACCTGGTCTGTTGCTCCGCACTAACCTTCAGGTCTTCTCGGCCACCGTCATTCCCTCCCTTCTCTACATTTGCGAAACGTGGACCCCCCTAATGGAAAATCTTCGCCGGTTAGAAACATTTAAGCTAGCCTGCCTACGATCCATCCTGGGTTTAACCAGGCTGGATTGTGTGAGGAGCTCACAAATCCTTGAAAGATCTGGGCAAGGTCCCATCGGTGAGCTCCTCTGGCAGGCAAGGCTGCGTTGGTTGTGTCATGTAGCCCGCATGCCCAGCCACCGCATGCCGTAACAGCTTTTGTTTGGCCGGATCGAGGGGGCTAAACGGGCGTGGCACGGGCTAGAGAAGAGATGGAGTGATGTGGTACAGGAGGACGTGGAGCTGAGTGGACTTGCCAATGACTGGTACCAGCGGTGTCAAGATCGGCCTCTGTGGAGGAGGCTCGTGAAGGACGCTACTGGGCAGTTGGAGGTAGTCGCCCTCCAACAACAACGGAGGGAGGAGGAGCGACGCTCACAACAACGAGCGGAGCGCCGGGTGGCTAAAGCACAGCAGGTTGGCACAGTAGGGGGCACAGGTGGTGCATCAGCCAGCCATCTCAGTCATCTTAGTCAGTCGACCCGTGGCACTTGGTTCTGCCCCGTGACCTCCTGCCGGCGGGCGTTCGACACTTCACGTGGCCTCAAGGTGCACATGGCCTGGCACAAGCGTCGTGGAGACGTCACCGCCACTTAGTGGCAAATGGCGGTTGTTGTTGTTGTGTGTGTGTGCGTGTGTCCGGCAAAACAACCCCCTACCTCCTCGCGGTGTCGGACGGGCAACTCTGTCGTGGACAGTGCTGTGGGGGGAGGTCCAATTGTAATTGGCTCCTCCCCTCATGGCATATGTGTCCACCACAGGGGCTAAACAGGGGCTCTGGACGGGTGCGAGGGGCTGGTAACCCCTCCACCTTCAATTAATTACCACTAAACTGCGAATTAAGTATATAACTAATAAGCTTGTGCCGGAGGCCCCGGGGGGGCCAGGCGTTTATGACGTCTCCTGGCCAAACCCCAATTGGTGGAGCCAGGAGATTGAATATCTACCCTCGGGGCTCCTCCAGAAACAACGAAAAACCACTACGGGTGGCCACGTGGAATGTTCGAACGCTCACTGCGGAGGAGAGGCTGCCACTCCTCTGTCGGGAGCTGGACCGGTACCGCCTGGATCTATGTGGCATTCAGGAGGTCCGGTGAACCGGCTCTGGCTCCTGCCACCATGAGGGGTGGACAGTCCTCTACTCGGGGCAGCAGACTGCCAAACAACAGGGTGTGGCTCTTCTTTTGAACAAAATAATGAAGGGGGCGTGGGAGCGTGGCGGTGAGGTGTGGGAAGCTGTAAGCCCCAGGCTACTTTGGGCTCGCCTTCCCATCAACCGGAGGCGAGGAATGGTGGTCGTGGTTACTTATGCCTCCACCGAAGATGAACATCCGTGGAGGGATGCAGGCAAAGCCAATGGGTCAGATGCCTTCTATGACCTCCTGTCACAGGTGCTGGCTAAAGTGGCCCCTCGGGATAGAGTCATCATGTTGGGTGACTTCAATTCCCGAGTTGATAATGATACTGGCACCTGGTCTGGAGTGATTGGAGGGCATGGGCCAGATCAGCTCAATAACAACGATAGGAGGCTGCTAGATTTTTGTGCAGCCCATGGGCTTGTAATTACCAACACGCTGTTCCGGCATCGGCGCATCCACACAACATCATGGATGCATGCCGGGTCCAAGCAAGAACATCTGCTGGACTACATAGTGACGGACCAGCGGATGCAAGCCCATGTCCTTGACACCAGGACCTACCGTGGAGCTGATCTGCCTTCTGACCATCGACTAGTCATCTGTAAGATGCGCCTGCCATTCTTCCACTCCGGTGGTGGGTGTACACCCAGGACCCCATTCCAACCTAAATTGGCCTGGTCTCAGTTATCTGATGAAAGTTGCAAGCGAGACTTTCATCATCGCTTGCGGCTGGGATTGGCATCGTCCCCGACTCCTCCTGATGTCGAGGGTAAATGGGCGAGGTTTAGGACTGTGACTCATGCAGCTGCAATGGCTGCTTTGGGTACGCGATCCAGACCTCCCCAGAGACCCTGGCTGACAGAGGAGGTGTTCAGGATGGTTGAGAAAAAGCGACAGGCCCACTGTCATCGGCTACAGAATCCCACGTCAGAGAATGAGGAGGCTTACCGCAGCCTTCGCTCGGAGGTTCAGAGAGCCGTGAGGCGCTGCAAGGATGGGTGGTGGTCGCGGGTTGCTGAGGAGATGGAGTCTGCCTCAGTGGCCCGTGATCACAAATCTCTATTTAACTCCATCAAAAAAGTAATCTGCAGCGCCACACCTATTACCATCATTAGGGGAAAACACGGTTACCCAATCTTTGACCCCCAGGAACAGGTTTGCAGATTTGCTGAGCATTTCTGTGAGATCCTGGAGGAGGGAATATCCCTCAACCAGGAAAACATCGTGGCACAAAGTGAGGATGACCCTGCTGAGGCTGCGGTGCTTCAAATATTGGAAGAAGTCACCCCCTGTGAGTGGCTGGCTGAGGTGCCATCTGTTGAGGAAGTACTGAAGGCGATCCGGAGTCTGAGACCAGGAAAGGCAGCGGGCAGAGATGATCTCCCAAGCGAAATGCTGAGCGAGGGTGGCGTTTGTGCACAGACTGCCCTATATGACATCATAACAACAGTCTGGACCACTGGACGGGTTCCGCAGGATTGGAAGGATGCCCTGGTGGTCCCCCTTTAAAGAAGGGGGGCCGCACAGAATGTAACAACTACAGGGGCATCTCACTCCTCAGTGTGCCGGGAAAGGTCCTGGCAAGGATTATTCAACATCACCTTGCCAGGTACTCTGAGGAGAGGCTTGCGGAGCCCCAATGCGGTTTCAGGAAAGGGCGGTTCTGCACAGATGCCATATTTTCTGTCCGTCTGCTATAGCAGAGGTGTAGGGAATTCCAACAAGACCTACATCTCTGCTTTATTGACCTGGTCAAGGCCTATGATACCATCAGTAGGCCTGGGCTCTGGGTTGTTTTTCGTGCTTTTGGAGTACCTGACCCTCTGCTCACGATCATTAAGGACCTTCATGATGGTGAGCGGGCCCGGGTAAAACTACGTGGCCAGGAGTCAGAGTCATTACCTGTACACCTTGGGGTGCGACAGGGATGACCTCTGGCTCCCACATTATTTAACATCTATTTTGACCACGTAGTTCGTGAAGCCTTCAATAGCTGAACTGGGGGAATCTCCATATGGTACAGATATAATGGGAGTCTGATCGATGCTCGGGTGCGGTCAAGGGATGGCTCCCTATTGCTCAACCACGTTATGTGTGCTGATTATTTGGTAATAGCTGCTCATTCAGAGGAGGAGTTGGAGACGCTGCTGCTGAGACTGGAGCGTGCCACTAAGAGGTGGGGCCTTACCATCAGCCCCACCAATACTAAGCACCTGCCTGGGTATTTTGTACCATCGGACACTTCACCCCCACAACTCCCAATCGGTGATGGGGCAGTTGTGGAGAGAGTGGAGAGTTTCCCATACCTGGGCAGTGTGCTTATGACTGGCTCCAGTTTAACAGCAGAGGTCTCACTCCGAATCAGTCGAGCGGCAATATCTTTTCATCGGTTGCATAACGCTGTGTGGAAGCTACCTGGTCTGTCGCTCCGCACTAAGCTTCAGGTCTTCTTGGCCACGGTCATTCCCTTCCTTCTCTACGCTTGCGAAACGTGGACCCCCCTAATGGAACATCTTCGCCGGTTAGAAACATTTAGGCTGGCCTGCCTACGATCCATCCTGGGTTTAACCAGACTGGATTGTGTGAGGAGCTCACAAATCCTTGAAAGATCTGGGCAAGGTCCCATCGGTGAGCTCCTCCGGTGGGGAAGGCTGCGATGGCTGGGTCATGTAGCCCGCATGCCCAGCCACCGCATGCCGAAACAGCTTTTGTTCGGCCGGATTGAGGGGGCTAAGCGGGCGCGGCATGGGCTAGAGAAGAGATGGAGTGATGTGGTACAGGAGGACGTGGAGCTGAGTGGACTTGCCGATGACTGGTACCAGCGGTGTCAAGATCGGCCTCTGTAGAGGAGGCTCGTGAAGGACGCTACTGGGCAGTTGGAGGCAGTCGCCCTCCAACAACAACGGAGAGTGGAGGAGCGACGCTCACAACGAGTGGAGCGCCGAGTGGCTAAAGCACAGCAGGTTGGCACAGTAGGGGGTACAGGTGGTGCATCAGCCAGTCATCTCAGTCAGTCGACCCGTGGCACCTGGGTCTGCCCCGTGACCTGCCAGCAGGCGTTCGACACTTCACGTGGCCTCAGGGTGCACATAGCCTGGCACAAGCGTCGTGGTGACGTCACCGCCACTTAGTGGCGAATGGCGGTTGTTGTTGTGTGCGTGTGTGTGTTCTTATAACGGTGACGGCCGCTGGACATTCGAACCGTGAACCTCTGCAATAACCCCCCCCCCCCCCCCCCCACAAAGGCTGGCGCGAGGCCACGTCAGCGCCCAACGCGAACAGAAGTCGCGGTTCCGCATGGCTACACAATCTCTCCGTTCATGGCATAACGCGTGCAACGGCTGGAATGTCAAGCGATTTCAGATTAAAATACGAATGTACGGTCCTTGGTCAATTCACTCCTCGATTAAGGCCCCTTGGGAGGGGCTGCTTTGATCAAACGATAGCCAGGCTGCTTAGATCGTGGTATGTTAAGGAGGACTCAGGACTGCTTCGCATATCGCTCGCCACTGATGTTAAACCGTGGCCGGGATTCGAACCGAGGTTTTACGCAGTGCGCTAACCACTGTGCCACAGCTCCCCGGGCCCCAAATATGCACCAAATTCAGGAGAGTAAACGTCTATAATGTGATCATACATAAAGCATGTGTAAAGTTGTAAACGCAATTCATGTTTTTGTATATATGTACGTGTTGCATATATACGTGTATGTATGCGTATATGTGCTTGTATGTGGGGCTGTACATAGTGATTAAATGTGTACATACGCTGAATATACGTGCGTGCATTATTTGTCAGTGTGTGTATACATCGTGTGCTGTGTGTTTGTGAATATATAACTGTTATGGAAGAGAGAGCGTAACAGCTAGCGCGCTGCGCTACGAACCCGGCGTCCAGAGTTTGATTCCCATTTACGGCAGACACCGATTATCTGAACCGGTCCTGGGCCTCCCCTAGGTCGACTCAGCCTCAAATAAGTACCTGATGCGATGTGTCATTATCGCTACTTGGGAGACAAAGGCGGCCGGCGTGGTGCTGGCCACCCACCCCCTCGTGTGCCGTGACGGCCTTTATAGGTGCTGCTCGCTAACAGCACTTGCCCCTTATAGTCTGTTAAGGCTACACGAGGGTCTTTCTCTTTGTTTTGTGTATATAGATGGGTTGCTTGTATACATGCATGTTCTGTATATGCATCACACGTACATCTGCGCAATATGTATCACGTGCATATGTTTTGTGTATTGCATGTATACATGCTGCATGCATCAAATGTATACCTATGTGTGATGCACGTATCACGTTCATTTGTTCTGTATGTTTTGCATGTATACGTGATGTATGAATCGCATGCATACCTATGTGATGTACGTATCAAATGCGTGTTTTCTGTAAGTTTTGCATGTATACGTGCCGTATGCATCACACGTGTATACCTGTGTGCCGTGTGCATTACTTGTATGTGTGTTGTATGTTTTACATGTGTATGTATCACATGCTGTATGTATCACAAGCTGTATGTATCACAAGTATTATAAGCTGTATGTATTACATGTGTATGTGTATCACGTGTGTGTGTGTGTATCACGTGTGTGTGTGTATCAGCGTACTTGCGCAGGTAGGTGAGGTAGGCGCTCTTTGCATTCCCTTCCTCCAGCAGCTGCGCCTTCTCTCTGTCGGCCTCCATCTTCCAGCGCGCACGGGTGTGTGTGTGTGCGCGTGCGTATAGGTGTGTGTGTGTGCACCGGTGTGCGTGTGTGCACCGGTGTGCGTGTGTGCACCGGTGTGCGTGTGTGCACCGGTGTGCGTGTGTGCACCGGTGTGCGTGTGCGCGTGCGTACAGGTGTGTGTGTGTTCACAGGTGTGTGTGTACAGGTGTGTGTGTGTGTGCACAGGTGTGTGTGTGTGCAGTTGGGTTCACCCGTGCCGAGTCTCGCCCACACAGGTGGCGTGGGCACACACTGAGAGAGTGAGACACTGTGAGGGCGAGAACTGGGAGACACACCATAGGTTGAAACACGAGGGGGGGGGGGGGGGGAGACACAGCAGAGAGTGAGACACGGGGAACGTGAGAAATGGGGAGGGCGAGACACGGGGAAAGTGAGACACGGGGAGAGTGAGACACGAGGAGAGTGAGAGTCGGGAAGAGTGAGAGACAGAGAGAGACAGGGGGAGAGTGAGACACGGGGAGATGAGACTCGGGAAGAGTGAGAGACAGAGAGAATGAGACACGGGGAGAGTGAGTCACGGGGAGAGTGAGAGATAGAGAGAGCGAGACACGGGGAGAGTCAGACACGGGGAGAGTCAGACACTGAGAGAGTGAGACACGGGGAGAGTGAGACACGGGGAGAGTGAGAGACAGAGTGAGACACGGGGAGAGTCAGACACTGAGAGAGTGAGACACGGGGAGAGTGAGACACGGGGAGAGTGAGAGACAGAGTGAGACACGGGGAGAGTGAGACACAGAGAGAGTGAGACACGGGGAGAGCGAACCACCCGAGACGGCTAGAGGATGACACTCGGGGACGTTGAGACGTGGAGACGGGGCGCGTGTGAGAGTGAGAGACAGAGAGAGTGAGGGAGTCACTCGCGCGCTCTGCCCAAGTCTCCCCCCAGCAAACGTGACGCGGCGCTCCTGTGAAAACGATCCAGCGCAGCGCATTGTGACGTGACCGCGAGATGACGATGTTATAATCCTGCGTGCGCGCGCGTGCACCGCGCGTGACCTGCATAGGGACCCCGATTACCGTATGACAGCGCAATAAAAACAAATATGCGTAAGCCACGAATTTCCGCATTTCCGATACCGCACGGGATTTACTACGCACGGGGTTTGCATAGAATTCCGCAAAAAAACGGTACGAATGATACAGAGCAGCCGCAAGGTTCGCCATCACTCTCTGACAACGGCTGCATGAAAGCATCGATCTCCGTGTTTCTAGATCTCGAGGGTGGCCACAGAGTCCCTCTGAATGGGGAGCCGTGGTGACGGGATGTTATCTGCCTCGCCTGGGTATGCAGGAGGACGTGGGTTTGATCCCGACCTTGACGCCTGCATATTTGGAGTTTGCGTCTCTCTCCCCGTGGTCGCGTGGATTTGTATCCGGGACCTGCGGTTTTTCGTGCCACATTTACAATCAACATGCATTCAAAGTATTTAGCTGCTATAAATGTCCACGTGATAAACCGCTTCGCTGAACTATCATTTGTGGCCAGTTCGCTTCTGAAAAATAGCTATATAGCTCAATGAGCCCTACCTGGTAAAATAAAATTTTAAAAAGTTTATGCCCTCGCCATTCGGGAATAGGTACAGTATTTGATTCAGGGATTCAGGGAACGATGGAATTTTAGATTATCTAATCTGATTTGGTCGTTCCGAAGCCCAGGCCTAACAACAACAACATCATAATATAATTAACTTTGGGGGATACTCAAGGAGAACGCCTCCCAACTCACACTTAAAGTTGACAAATATTGAGGAACTCCAAACAGCTGTCCCGATGTGCTTTTAGAGGACGCAGCCACCCACTTGGAGGAATCTACCTGTCGAGGAGAACGTGGGTACGAACCCAGCTGTTTACTGAGAGTGGATGGCAGCGGACGGAGCTGTTCCCACAGAGACACATTAATCGACAATTGTTTTCTTCCAAAGGGACTTTGTAGCCACCCTGTCCTGTAGTTGTGTTTGCAGCAGCTGTGTGCGTTTGTCTTCTTTGGTGTTGTTCTGTTTGAGCGGTTGTATTTGCGTATGAAGTTGGGTTGGTGCACATTAGTGATGTTTGGTTGTGGTTGTTTGAGTGGTTGTTGTTAACATTATTTCCAAATAAATAAACTAAGAACATGAACAACATTGATTTGTACAATATCGTCAACTTGGATAACCTTTTTAACACGGTTAGCTATCCTCATAACAATAAACTATGATAACATTAACATTATGACCCGGCTTCGCCCGGGACTTGGATTCACGACGCCCGGCCGCCTTTGTCTCCCCAGTGGCGATGTGCACACACCACACCGTGAGCGGGAATCGAACTTGGGTCGTCGGGTTCGTAGCGCAGCGCGCTAACCACTACACTACCGCTCCCCACACACAAACGTGCGCGCGTCTATACGTACACGCGCTTGCAGCAGACACACACAACTTCCAGGGTGCGTACGGCAGTAAACGACTCAAATAATAAAGCAATGCTGCGCGAAGAACGCCTTAGACCTGCAACACATTTGTATTTCACTTTACCTGCGATCAGCAGGCACACTCCGTTACGCTTCCGCACACGGGTCACATGACAGAGTGCCCCCCCCTCCCTAAATATACAAAAGTCTATTTTTATTATTTTTGCATGGTGTACAGTCTGGAAAGTACCCACATGGCAAATTTCAAGTTTGTTGCATGTCGGGAAGTACGCTAAACATTTTGAACAGACACACAATCACAACTTTGCCTTTTATATATGTAGAGGTGTTAACTACGCGCTGTTGCATAACCTGCATGCCACCAGGGCAGTGCAGCATTACCCCTGGGTACAACGGTTGGGGTCAGTCGAGGTGAAACGGATCGTGGCCAGGGTTTGGTGCGAATCAATCAGACGGTCCCACGTGGGAATGTATGATTGGTTCTACCTGGCCACGAAGGGGTATAAGACGGGTGACCCAACGGACCTCGGGGAGTTCTCTCCCTGCACGAAGATAGAAGACTGGGCTGAAGCCTAGCTAGGACCCTGGACCAGCCTTTCAGCCCTTCTAAGGGCTAGGGCTCGGCATACCCAGTGGTCAGGACCCACCGGGCCAGCGGTGGGTCAGATAGCCTCCCCTAGGTCCTAGCCGGAGGACTAGGATAGCGGTAGACGTGTGAGTCCCGCCAGGTCCGGAGGCTGTACCTCCCTAGGGTATCGGGTGAGGGGACCGAATATCCCTGGGTGTGTTAAGCGTTGTATAAGGAAATAATACAATAAACAGAGTGTGCCTCCTAAATAAGTCTGCTCGTCCTTACAACACTACATATATATAGATCAACTTTGATAACCTTTATAAGACGCTTAACATTATCCATAACGATACGGGAAGTAATAGACCTACGAACACAATTATTTCCTGAGACCCGTTAATAACGGTTCGTAAGTCGGAACACGATTATGCACTAGATTTAAATGCCCATATATCAGTGTTATGAAATGTGTTACGGTTCAACAAACAGGGAAACATTGTTAAATTAATCATTAAGAAATCTTGTATATTTTCATAGAACACTAAAAAAGTACTGTATAGTAAATAAAACATACCACAAAGTAACATAAACAGAAACCAATGTTTTATTTTCACTTACCTTGAGCCCTGATACTGGCTCGCTTGTCGGAAGAGGCGCAATGAGTTACCACAATTGCGCACATGCACACGGGTACTCACGCACGCACAAAGACAACGATCCCCCGTATATCCTTAACAAACTGTTTGGGCAAGTGCTGTTAGCGAAGACCTATGAAGGCCGGCACGGCACACGAAGGGGTGGGTGGCCAGCACCACTCCGGGCCCCCTTTGTCTCTCCAGCGGTGATGTTTCCACACCACACCAGGTACTCATTTGAGGGTGAGTCGACCTAGAGGAGGCCCAGGTCAGGTTCAGATAATCGTCACTGGTGTTGGCCGTGAGCAGGAAATATTTTTTTAACAAGACATCTGACATAATGACAGGTTTAGCGTAATCTAACTCGGGTCGTCGGTTTCGTAGCGCAGCGCGCTAACCGCTGCACCATCGCTCCCCACACACTCACTTCCACACATAAACACTCACTCCCAGCGCGCGGCCGACTCATTACACCTCGTGGAGGATCGCCCCTGCTGAACAAAACGGTTCCGCGGTTTAGTTTGCGAGCACGAGTTCGCGTTTGTAAGTCGATGTTTAAAAAAAGTATATTTGATCCCCTGCTGATGTTGTACGTTTGACCACTGACAAAGAAATTATCAGTCTATAATTTTAACGGTAGGTTTATTTGAACAGTGAGAGACATAATAACAACAATAAAATCCGGAAAACACGTCAAAAATTTCATAAATTGATTTGCATTTTAATGAGGGAAATAACAATTTGACCCCCTCTCAATCAGAAAGATTTCTGGCTCCCAGGTGTCTTTTATACAGGTAACGAGCTGAGATTAGGAGCACACTCTAAAAGGGAGTTCTCCTAATCTCAGTGTGTTACCTGTTAAAAGACACCCGTCCACAGAAGCAATCAATCAATCAGATTCCAAACTCTCCACCATGGCCAAGACCAAAGAGCTCTCCAAGGATGTCAGGGACAAGATTGTAGACCTACACAAGGCTGGAATGGACTACAAAACCATTGCCAAGCAGCTTGGTTGAAGGTGACAACAGTTGGTGCGATTATTCGTAAATGGAAGAAACACAAAAGAACTGTCAATCTCCCTCGGCCTGGGGCTCCATGCAAGATCTCACCTCGTGGGGTTACAATGATCATGAGAACGGTGATGAATCAGCCCAGAACTACACGGGAGGATCTTTTCAATGATCTCAAGGCAGCCGGGACCATAGTCACCAAGAAAACAATTGGTAACACACTACGCCGTGAAGGACTGAAATCCTGTAGTGCCTGCAAGGTCCCCCTGCTCAAGAAAGCACATATACATGCCCGTCTGAAGTTTGCCAATGAAAATCTGAATGATTCAGAGGACAACTGGGTGAAAGTGTTGTGGTCAGATGAGACAAAAATGGAGCTCTTTGGCATCAACTCAAGTCGCCGTGTTTGGAGGAGGAGGAATGCTGCCTATGACCCCAAGAACACCATCCCCACTGTCAAACATGGAGGTGGAAACATTATGCTTTGGGGGTCTGTTTCTGCTAAGGGGACAGGACAACTTCACCGCATCAAAGGGACGATGAACGGGGCCATGTTCCGTCAAATCTTTGGTGAGAACCTCCTTCCCTCAGCCAGGACATTGAAAATGGGTCGTGGATGGGTATTCCAGCATGACAATGACCCAAAACACACGGCCAAGGCAACAAAGGAGTGGCTCAAGAAGAAGCACATTAAGGTCCTGGAGATGCCTAGCCAGTCTCCAGACCTTAATCCCATAGAAAATCTGTGGAGGGAGCTGAAGGTTCGAG